GAAATTGTACAAAATAGCATTTTTGCGTTGTTTTTTGATTATAAAAAAAGTTTTATCAGACGAATTAAAAATTCATCCATAGAAAATGTAGAGAAAATAATTGCGGTTTTTTTTTGAGCTATAGAACTCCTAGAAATGTCAAAAACTGAAAGAGGAGATAGATTTTTTCTGTAAAAAACTTTCAAAAATGACCATTGTTGAAATTTTTTCTTCCGGAAAAGGACCATACATGAATCTATAACCACTAATTAATTTTTTTAAGAATCATTTCATCTTGGAACTCCACAAAATCAGATAAAAAATTCTGAAATTATGGTTTCAGACCTGCAATTGTGATCGCACCAAACTTTTTTTCTGTAGATCAAAAATTAATTTGCAGTTCGGAATTGTTCTGTGGGAGAGCGTGAACTTAGAAAAATCTCGTTATTTTCATACTTGTAAAATTCCGGGCCTGAGGAAAATTTCAAGGCCCGGGCCCGGCCCGGAATTTTGTCATTTTAAACCGAATTTTAAGCTCTCAATACAATTTTCTATATTTTTTTGTGCTTTTTGGATTGTTTGTCTGTTTGATCAAAAAATATTTTTAAAAGCTCGAAAAAAATTTTTTGATCGAAAAAAATCACATAAGGGTCCCCCCTTATGTGTTTTTTGAAATTTTCAAAACTTGTGGAATGACAGGCCCGCCGGACCGGGCTGGGCCTCCGAAATTCGGGAAAAGCCCGGCCCGTACCAAGTATGGTTATTTTGGCTAAGTCTGCATAAAAAATAATTCCTGTTGTAAACGAGAGAGGAGATAGCGCTAGAGAAAGATGACAATTCGAAGGCGCATTTCTCGTGCGAGAGGCCGTGTGCTGCTGAGTATCCACGCAATGGTTAACGTGGGGTCGCTACGCAGCCGCGACGCGTCGGCACGCCTCTAAACGAATCGCGAACGCTCGATTCGAACCTTTTGTAGGGACCCCGCAAATTCCGGGAAAAAAAAACTCCGGAGAAAAGTGGGCGGAGTCGAGAAACAGTGCGGCAAAACCGTGCCAAGGTTGCAATTTAGGCTCCGCCCCCTCATAACCGTGTCCAAATGTGCAAAAAAAACCGTGCCAGGGTTGCATTTTAGGCTCCGCCCCCAACTCCGCCCACTTTTCCCCGGAGTTTTTTCCCCGGAATTCACCGTCTAATGATTTTTTTTCTGTGATGTATCGAAAAATCATTCTCTATAGATCGTACGTCATTAAGATGGTAACATGATTTCTGTTTTTTTACCGCTTCTCAAGTTCACCTGCTCTAATCCCCAAATCCACTCACACAACCTAGGATTGATTGAAAGTTGTTTACATGTAAACATGTGACAACAGAAACGGTTTATTCTTTTTCAATAACGTTTCCTTCGGGACGCTTCGCTGTCTATCATACTTTTGCAAATCGATATATGAACAATTGACTTTCAGTTCCCTTTCGCACCAACCTTGTGAATATTTAGCGAATCTGTGTTTCATAACTCTCTTATTGTTTTCAGCGACTATCTTCTCCCCCTTCAATCAACTCATCTCTTCATCGCTGCTGATTTTTTTTACTCTTTTTACTGTAGCTGTTATTTTTAAGCGATAAAATGGTAGGTCGAAAGAAGCAAATGGCCTCAAAAACTCGGCTTCTTGAGAGCGACTCAGAGGATGATATTTCGTCATCGGGATCCGTCACTGAAGCCGAAGACCTCGAGGAAGATATCGATATGGAAGATTTGGATACAACAGAACTAGAGAATGCTCATAGTGATGGTAAATTATTTTTCTTGACGAACACTGATCACGATAATTATTTTCAGAAGATGGATTGGAAACAGAAGAAATGGATAAGAAGCGCGAGAAACATTTCTGCAAAGAAATCTGGCAGCTCAAAAAGCTTCCTTATAGTGACGAACTTGAAGAGCAGGCCAACCGACATTTTCAAATGATCAAAAAAGGACTTGCTGAGTCGATTTTATTGAACGATGCTGCCACAGGATTTTGTCATTGGACAATGGAACTAGACAAATATATCGACTTCTACGGACGTCGATTTTCGAAAGAGGAACACATTCAATTGATTCACATCTTCCTTCCTCTTGTAAAGAAAGGTGCAATCTTTCGGAATGTGAAAATTGCTATGCGGACATTATATACACTTCTCAGTAAGAAAGATTTTCTCACTCGTCAAGACTTGGTCATTGATTGGCGCCCACTGATGGAGCTTTATGTTGAAGTCACGTTCAAGAACCTTGAAGAAGATGGATTGTTCCTGATGCCTGATGGATTCAGATCGGATTTGCACACCTTGATATTCTACTCTCGTCCTTACTTTTCCGATGAATCCGTGCAAGAGCTACTAGACGAAGTACGTCCTTTCATGTGTGTTTGGGACGAATCATGTCTTCGGTATTGGAAACTTATGGATCTTTTCTTGTGCACGGCTATGCCGGTTCAGAGACAACTCACACATGGGTCTGCACTTTGGCTGGATGAAGCGTGGTATTGGTACGAGCAGATCACAAACAACTCCTTGTTCGAAACGCAAGCTATTAAAATGTTTGCAAGACTATCAGTTGAATGTCCTGGTCATATTGACTGGACTGGTAAGCTCGACTTGATCTTCTCCCGACTTCTCAGAGCTCTGCGTCTTGGACACGTCACAGGACTCTGCCAAGTTTTCAATCAAGAGTATGGATCAATCTGGCTCGTTTTCATGATGGGAACGAAGGCACACGACAAGTTGATGAGTCATATGCGTGATCTTTTCAACCAAGTCGAATCGTTTTTGCATCCATCAAACAATGGTCTTCACACCCAACATATCATGGTTTTGCTTTCGAAGTTGCTGTCTAACACATTGCTCAGACTGAAGAGGGAAAGGTCAGAGAAGTCACCAAAAAGTAACAGAACACTTACAATGGTAGGGTAACTTTTTAATTTTTCACTGATAATATACTGTTCGAATTTTCAGATTCCTGATGAAATGCGACTCACCCAAGCACATCTCGACGAGCTGGTTACCATGATGCTTCCGAGTCTAAAACTCATTGCATTCACCAAAACTTGCAAAGAACTTGTCAGTCCAGCATACAGATCTGCATGCCTTCTGTGTCCGAAAATTATTCTACCGATTGTGCTGGATATGGTCTATCCAGCGTTAGAGACACTTGTGGAACCGCATCGTCTTCTTCAGACATTGGGAACTCTTCTTGGTGTGCTCATTCCATTGGTGAAAGATGAACCTGACGCTGAAGGAAAGACGTATAGAACTCATGTCATCACGATTCTCAATTCATTGCTTCCGGGTCTTGACTGCAACGACATTAGCAAGTGTATGGTTACGTATCAAATCATTGGTGTAATCGTCAATATGATTCCAATTGTGGACTGTTCTGAAGCCGTTCATGTGCGATGTGATCTCACCGAAGACGAGAAAGAGCTTTGTTCAGCTACAGCAAATTTTGATTCTATTATTTCGATGCTCATGGATCGAATGTTTGAAATGCTTATCGCTGTAGGGCAAACTGCGACAACATCAGGAACTCATGGATCGATCTCTGCCAAGACAGGAAGTAACATTGAAGATCAAATTTTTCATCGAGGAACTCTTTCCGTTTTCAAGGGAATCTGTAGAAACAGTAGTACCGAACTGTTCAATATCGCCATCAACAAGTTGTACAGTGTCGCATGTGAGCACGTGTTCGATAGCAGAATAGCCAATGACGTGATTGGGGACATGATCCAAGTGGCTTGCAAATTCCACCCTGATATTGCTTTCCATAAGTTCTTCAAGCTTGTGATTTCTAAAATACAAAATTGTATCACTCGTAAGTTTTATCATTTGCCTATGTGACGATAAAATATATATTTCAGCCGAATTCTACACTGAAGAGAAGGTCGAGTTTGGAACTCTTTGGTGGATTGCTATCGCTTCTCGAATGATCAAAGTTCATCCAAAACTACTTCTGGAAAACTGGCACATGGTCTCGACTCTAATGGATCTTGTGATGCCGAACAAGAAATGCACAACAGCAACTGAGAAAGCATTAAATGTGATGGACAACCTTCTGGATCAGTTGACCTCGATTCAAATCAACTCTCTTGCCGAAAGGAGAAAGATGTACGACCTTTCGACAGAACAGTTTCTTGCTATCAGACATTGGGCGGCTCCAGTCGAGAAAAAGAACTGGAATCCGGAATGGATCATTCCAACGCACGAATCAATCGACCGAGCAACACAAATTCTTCGTAAATGGTTGGTACCAACTATTGATTCACTGAATGCGCCTACCGGGATTCCGAAGAAAGAATTGCTTCATCGTCTTTATCTAGTGAGAAGTGCGCTTCTTGGATCATGCTTCTCTTTGCCGCTTCTTGAAGGAAAACTGATTCCATTGTCTGATTCGCACATTATTACACCAGAAAACGAAATGATGACGATTGTAAAACCAAAAGGAACGCCCGAGATTTCCATTGATGGCAAAAATGTGCGAAAGATGATTCTCGACTGCACCGTCGGATTGATCAATTGGCTCTTGGAAAACAATCCAGACGATGTTAAGTCGATTCAAGAATCCATTTCGATTCTTCGAAGCCTTCCACTTAATCGTGGTTACACCAGGGAACTTTACAATACTTCTTCAACTAGTTATCGTGTCACGAAAACAATGCTGTGCGACAAATTGGCTGGTAACAAGAGTAACATCGAGATGATTGTCGAGGAGTATGTGATGCTTTTGCATCGAAAGCGTATTGCACACACTCAAGGATGGCACTTCAACGAACATCACAAGTTATTGCAGGATACACTTTTGAAAGTAGCAACCAGTACTTACAGTGAGGTAAGTTTCCGCTTTCAAAACTCGGTTTTTTTTTTAAATTTCAAAATAAGTTTTTTCAGAACCGATCTAAAGCACAAGCCATTCTTTTGAGCAAGCTTCGGGAGCATCCATATTCGTATAAACTCATCCTCAATGATATTATCTCTTTCTTACAACCTGGAAACGACGTTTCCCATGAACAACTGAAAGGAGCGTTGTATTTACTCATTGACGGAAAGAAACAATCGTTGATGCTTCGGATGGAGTTTGAACAACAAGCGAAAATGTGGCCGGCTCTTGTCAAAGTTCAGCATAGCGAGAAGCCGACAATCATTGCTCTTCTGGAAAATGCCCAGAATATGATTGTGGACAACTACGAAAGCTACCGCCTCAAGTATGAGTGGGAACCGAAACATGTAGAAGCTGCTTGGAAACTGTTGAGAGCTGCTGATGAATCATCGCCATTGCACAATGCGGAAATGCTACGTGGTCCCTCGGAGGCAGAGTTGGAGAAATACAAAAACTTACTTACCGAAAAGTACGAAAAGTCGAAGGCCAACTATTTCTCACTCATCAATGAGCTCTTTGCTCTTGCTAACGACCCAACTCTTCACTGGCGTCCTCTGGATATGGCATACTCTATGCTCTCCATGCAAGTTCGCCGGGACTGTCCACTCCCGGATAACGTTGTAAAAATGTTTGTCCGTCTTCTAATCAACGATACGGTGAAGACAAGAAGAATCGCCTCGGCCGTCGTGGCATCGTGGCTCAAAATGACGAAGCCAAAAGCAGTGAAACGCGAATACGTAATTCCATACAAAGCACCAAACACTTCAACAGGAGCCATGCACCCTATTCCATACGGATTCCGGTCGGACAACCGAATCATGATGTATGAAGAAGACAAGCTGCCTAAAACCGACGAGGAATGGGATTCATTCCAGTTCTGCTGTAAGCAAAATTGGGGAGCTTACACCTGGCCAGCGAAGCTAAGAACCTACGCACCACTGAAAGAGCAGAATGCTATTGACAGAAATTATGAAGACTTCAGTGACGTAGAAAAATACATTGTGGAGATGTTCCAAGATGAGAAGTTTATGACTCGCTTCCGGGAGCTTTTCTCTATCGAAATGAAGAAGGAGGATGAATTGTTCAACGCCGTCAATTTCTCTCTGTTCCAAGGCCTTTTCAGATGTTATGGCGATGTTCTAACTCATGCATTCCGAGCACAACTCGAGCTTCTATTGCAAAGTACTAAGGAATATGAACAGAAGTTGGCTGCTGAAATCACAGCCGGTATGATCAACGGTTCAAAGCTTTGGAAATATGAGAAGCAGCGTAAACTGTGGAACTGGCTTGACCCTCTTCTCACTAAGACTTTTGAGATCATGAAGGAGGATGGACTACGAAACTGGGGAGTTGCTATTGCAACCGTTTGCGGTTGTTCGGAAGCTAGAATGCTGAAGCCTCTAATTGATTTGCTTTTCAAACTGATAGAAAGACCGACCGACAACGCTTATGCTGCGAGCAGTAGAATGTTCCTAGTACAATCTGCTCTGTGTCAATTCGAATGGAGAGGTGTTGAATTATGGAACAAGTTAGTCGACATGATGAAAGGAATGCTAGTTCAACCATTCGCGAACCTCAGAGATCGCATTGCTATGTGAGTTTTAGGAATCATTTTTCATTTCACAAATTCTTAATATTTCAGTTCCCTGGTATCCGCAACATGGTACGACCTTCCCGCAGTCTGTGTGGACCCTTCTCTCCCTAAACGTCTCCAGCCACCACGAATTGAGGAGATTTCTGCTCTCTACCAAGATTTGCTAGGCACCTGCTTCGATGAAGTTAGAATGGTTCGCGACATTGACCTTGCTAACGGATATGCTAATGGATCATCATCATTGACGGTTCCTACTAGTTCTGGTGGAATGATGACACAGTCGGCATCTAGTGCGTCTCTTGCAGAAGTCTCAGAAGTGAAGAAGCAGTCTCGTCTTACACTCCGTGCTGCAATTTCTTTTGTCTTTAATACATGCAATCAATCGTACAATGCATATCCGCCGTCATTCTTGCAATTCATCCCTCTATGGTGTCACTATTCGAATGACGTAGGAGACGAGGAACTCCAGAAAACTTGTTCATCACTTTGTATCACTCAAATGGAGGCTATTTACATTTCCCCAGAAAATGCACCAGAAGTCATTCGTCAGTTCCAACAGATTCTCTCGACGCCGTGCTGGTGGAAGGCTAAAGTAGCAGCTTTGAAAATGGTCCGAATGCTAGTTTTCTCTAATAGATACGTCTTTAGAATACATCGTGATGATGTTGGTGCGTGATTTTCGCATGGTTGATTATAGTTATATGTTATATATTTCAGGAATTATGTTGGTCAATGCACTGAATGACAACCAGATCGAAGTCCGTGAAAAGGCGGCCGAGGCACTCAGTACGCTTCTTCAATCGAAGTTCTTCGAGACCACGCCGGAGCTTGTAAGCAAGTTCAGCACAGCGGCTAACTCGCAAGATATGGTCCAAGCTCATGGAGGAGTTATGGGGCTGTCAGCAATCGTCCTCGCTTTTCCATATTCCGTTCCCCCACTCCTACCTGGAGTGCTGATGACGATTTGTCGCTTCGCCACGGACAAAAATGCAATAATTCGCGTTAGTATTCAGTTCAAGACTGCGTTGACTTTATGATTATTTTCAGGAAGCCGTTAAACGCACACTTTCGGAGTTCAAACGTACCCACCAAGATTCTTGGCGAGAACACGAACAACAATTCAACGAGGACCAGCTGATGGTTCTTCGTGATTTACTCATCTCCCCAAACTACTATGTCTAGGTCTTCTGTCAGATAGTATTAGTTCGTAGCGCTGCATTGTATGCACGTATCACCGAACGCTTTATCATTTCGCATTTCGCCGGGTTTCTTTTCAGTGTACATTTTTTACGAATACTTTTATTTTGTTCCACTTCGAAACGGTGTTCATCTTACGAAATTCGTTTATTTTATCTTATTTTCATTTCATAACAATTTCATAAAACTTTAAGATTTTTTTCTAATTTGAAGTTTTGTATCCGTTAACTCGGTACTATGATTTTTTTGTTGACTTTTTTTCCCAATTTAGTTTTTAATACTCAAGTATTTAAGCATGTTGGAACGAAGCACGCGTGCGTGGTTGACGATTGTGGTCATCCAAGCAATGGGAAGTGTATGGATGTGCTATGCAAAGCAGAACGCGGCATCTCACTACACATCAAAGTCCACAGCACTCTCCAGAGCTCATGCCCTTCCCCTTGCGTTGCTCTGCATTCTTAGGTACTATTTATTTTTGCAAACTTTCTTCAATAGCATCATTTCAGAATCGTTCTGATCTTCGATTATCGCAACATCTCCGTCCACATCTCACACATTCTTCTCTCCATTTTCACTGCCCTCCACACACTCTCCGAAGTGTTCTACTACCAATCAATGTCCTACGGAATCGTGACAGTCACTGAAGTCACTCTCAACAGTTTCTCCGCTTTCGTCATGCTGTGCTTCATATTCTCCTCCTCGTTCCATGAAAAAATCAAAGCTGAAACTCTGAAAAAGCGAAAGAGAGAATTCGTTGCGAGACACTACATGGAAGGAGACTCGCTCACACCGGATGACGATGACGAGTTGGTTCAGGCCTACAGGAAAAGAAAGTAACACTCAATTTATCTATTATGTACCGACAGCTGTATAACTGTATTTTTTGCAAAATTTCAATTCTTCAATCTCATCCCAAAAAAGACTCATAATTTTTATAGCATCTCTGAAACATCTTCTGAAGATCTCTTCATTATGTTGAATGCTTTATTTGATAATGAATTTTGTACAATTTCGTTCGTTGTATGGGCAGTGTATGGGGGAAAGTCTACTTTCCATAGGTGTAATAATAGTATGGATAGGTGTAGTAGTAAAGTGGCTGAGCAGCCACAGCTCCAGTAGTCTGAACATTTCCGGATTGATCTCGCTGAACATTCGAGTATTGTTGGCTTCCTTGAGCATATTGAGTTGGTTGCTGATACTGTTGGGATGGTTGTTGAGCATAAGTTTGTTGATAAGTCTGCTGATATGCTGTAGCGTCGTTTTGTGTTGTGGCAACGGTTGGATAATAGTAGTAATATGGAGTGTAATAGCTCGTTGGATAGTACAGGTATTGGGCAGAAGCCACGGCGAGAAGGGAGAACAGAGCGAGAAGCCTGAAAATTGTTTGTACTGAAATTGTTCATTCGAAAGTCTAGATATATTTCAGTTCCTGTGAAAGATATCAAAAAGTGGTCTAATGACAAAATACGTTTGATATTCTGATAAACATTTTGTCCGTTAACCACTTTTTGTCATCTTTCCCAGGAACCGAGATCTACAGACTCAAAGTCCGGTTTACGGTAAATTTTGTGCTAAATCACTACTTTGAAGCTGTACAAACTGAAGTTTGTCGTATTCCCCCTAACTTACTACTAATTGCTTCTGGGAGCAATTGGTTGGAAAAGTGGAAAATTTTCTGGCATCTCTAACATCATAACATCTCATTGGGTTCGGAAGTAAGAGTCAAAAGTGGTAAACTTTGGAAAAAAAAACTAGACAGCATTATAACATTTTTGAAATATTGGGCTACTGTATGTAAAATGTTAAATTTCAAAAAAGAAGATTGTTCCTCCAATAAAGAAAAAATATTCCCTCTAATAGAAGACTACCCAAACCGTTAACTTCTAATTCAAAGGTGGTGTACGGTGAAATTTTTTATTGCATCAAAATGTGCAGAAATGCATGTAGATTGACATAAAAATAAAGAAAAAATTCGAAAAAAATTCCTTCATCGAGAAAAACGCATCGAAAAATACGCTGAAAGCCCTTAGGGACGAGGTTTTTTCTAGGCCGCCCGGTGAGTAAAAGCGCGCGAATTCAAACTTTTAATATTTTTTCGCTCGTTTTCAATTTTTTTCGGTTTTTTCAAGAGTTTTCTAGGTTTTTGTCAATTTTTCTTCCAGGATCATCGGAAAATTTGAAAAAAAAAAGTGAAAACGAGCGAAAAAATTTTAAAAGTTTGAAATCGCGCGCTTTTACTCACCGGGCGGCCTAGAAAAAACCTCGTCCCTAAGGGCTTTCAGCGTATTTTTCGATGCGTTTTTCTCGATGAAGGAATTTTTTTTGAATTTTTTCTTTATTTTTATGTCAATCTACATGCATTTCTGCACATTTTGATGCAATAAAAAATTTCACCGTACACCACCTTTCAATAATTCGCTTCTGTGAAAGATATCAAAAATTTGTCAACTGACACATTATTCATCATGATATCGCCAATAATTTATCAGTTGACAAATTTTGGATATCTTTCACAGGAATCCAATTGAGCTTAAAGTAAACTTACATGGTGCCATAAATGCTCTGTTAGAAGCCTACCAGAACCGCCAACTTCAAGCTCAATTATCTCGATTCCTGGGAAAGATATTAAAATCCGTCGATTGAGAAATTGTTTATCATAGTATCATTAATATTTTACCAGTTTACAAATTTTGGATATATTTCACAGGAATCGAGAAAATTGAGCTAAAAGTTGACAATTAATGTACGCTTCACTATCACCAAATCCAGACTTACGTGTTCATGATGTTTGATCGAGGTGAGTAGAAGTGCTGGCTCAACTGTCCATCTTACTCCTTTTATACTTTTCCCAATGACCGAACAACCTCTAATTCCCTTTTCCCACTCTCAAAAATCACCAAGAAAAAACTGTGTCTCCTATCCCTCCCTTGAGCCCTTACATACAAAAGTCAATGTGCACACTACAAAGGAAGGACTGAAATTCTGCTGGATTTGCCTGTTCTATCTTCTTGTCACCTTGTCAACAACAATGTTCTGTGTGCTCCTCGCCACCCGAAATACACGCATCCTTACATCTTACAATTATTTACTTTTTCATAGAAACATTCTTTGTAACAAACAGTAGTGTAGTGTTTACTCGTGGTGTTTCTTGTGGTTTTTAAAAAAATACATCGTTAAAGTGGGATGAAATTCGTCGTCAGGATAGATGACACATCCAAAAGTGACTATCGAAAGTATCAGTTCGGAAACTTGACCCCTAATTGTGTTTATGTTTCAGTTTGTGACTCATTGTGACATAACAGTGTAACTTGATAGTCGTAAACGAATCCTTGATAGATTCGCACTCTTACTCCCCATCTGGCTTAATCTTGATCACTTTATCATCATCATTCGTATCAAAATGAACCGTTTTAGCCACAGCCTGCCCGCCAGCCACCTGCCATTCGTTGTGAAGTCCCTTCCCAGAGTAAATATAATTTCTTTGAATCTCCGACCCACCTACAGTATCTCAGTGTCTCTCTTGACCTCAAGTTTGCTCAGTAACTTTGACGAAACTAAGAGGAGTGAATGAAAAACATACAGAAGGAGAGGGTTTTTTCTCAGTTTTTGAATGCGACCCCTTGATGACAGTAGACCCACCCATTGGGGTTGAGGTATAAAAATGGAGGAAATTGTGGGAATAGACACCGTTTCTACTCTTTTCTACAGTCGAACGAAATGAACACGTAAGTTTTTCAGGACTTCAGTGCTTCATGGACATGAACAACTTTTCCTTTTCAGCTTCCTTGCTCTGTGGTCCCTCGTTGCAGTCGCTTCTGCTCAATACCTGTATTATCCAACCAGCTACTACACTCCATACTACTACTATTACCCAACGGCTGCTGTTGTAGGAACCGCCGGTGTCACTCAACAAACCCAAAATGACGGATCCACTCAATACGCTCAGCAACAACCACAACAACAGCAACAGTATGCTCAATCAGGAACTCAGCAACAACAACAACAATACTATCCACAGCAACAGCAAACCCAACAAGGTCAACAACAGCAGACCCTTCAATACCAACAAGGAGCTCAACAACAACCAGTGCAATACGATCAATCTGGAAATGCTGTTCACTACGATCAATCTAACCAGCAACAGCCACAACAACATTACACCACCACCAACGTCCAACGTGATCAAACCGTGCAACAAGGAGCCCAACAGACAGGAACCGTTGCTGCTCAACCAATGTACTACTACTACACTTCTCCATACTACTACTATTACGGAAGAAAGTAGATCAGAAGTATTACGAACACTACCCCACCGAAATTTCATATTATGATTTCATTCCTTCCACTGCCCATTATAAACGAACGAAAATTTTACAATAACACAAAAAACATGAATGAACGATTTCAAATCTAATCTGGTTTTTTTATAAATTGTTGTTGACAAGAGTTGTGATTTGAAGAATTACGTAATAGAAGGACCCGCAAACATTTAACTTTGAACCAACTTTTCTCCGTTACTGTCAATGATATAAAAAAGATGTCAACTGGTATAATCTTTATCAGAACATCAAAAATAACTTATCAGTTGACACATTATTGATACCTTGCATAGGAATTCAGATAATTGAGCTCACACTTAATAAGGTGAGGGGTTTTCTATGATAGGTATTAAGGTATTTACTATCAGAGAAAAAAAACATTCTTCATTCAAAAAAGTCAGTTCTTCGTCAAATCGGTGAACTCCTGGATGTTGCAAAAAATAAAGAAGAATTCATGGAAACTGAACGTGAAACAAAAAGAGAAATATAGGAAACGGTGAAAAAGTTAATAATTTTCAAAGATTTGAAAAAGTAGGTCAAAAGCTAGATTTTCTTAGGTCACGACCCAAAGTTTTCTAGGTCATGACCCAATCTTTTCTAGGCCATGACCCAATTTTCAAGGTCATGACTCAATTTTTTTATGTCTACCATAGGAATATTTTGAAAGCAAATTGCAATAACGAAATTCACAAATTTTAGGAAATTTTCAGATGAAAAAAAATATAATTACATGAACACCGTTTTACTACCAGAATTTTTTAAGAACCAGCATTTTTTTAAAAACCAGAATTTCATACTAGAGCCGATAACTCTGCTTAAAGTTGATCAAAATGTTTGAACCTTGGCCAGTTTATCGATGAATTAACGATGAATTTTAGCACTACAGATTTGATCTCAGCACAACAATTCTCTCATATTTTATGCTATTAGAAATTTTTAGGAACTTTCGCGAACTTTCGTATTTTCTTCCACGATACAACTGTGATATCTGAAATGATAGGATCCTCATCATCTGACATCGTGAGATTCAGTATCAGGCGTCTAAATACACGTCACCTAATTTTCGCCTCTCTCCGGAAGATCTCTCTCATAGGTGTTCTCTTACGTAAACTATGCACCTGCTCTTCATAAACATTCCATCTCAAGGTATCAATAACATAAACAATTCTGCAAACTAGCTATCCACCCACTTATTCCACCAGTCAATTCATTCTATTCTTCTTCATAAGAATAATGATACCCAACTTAAATTTTTATCTTTTACTCCTATTTGATTTATCACTTGTTTCCTCGATTGACTATGAAGAAGTACAGATTGAAGATGCTTATGAAACCAGGTAATGTCACTAGATATTACGAAAGCTTCTTATAGAAAAATATAGGTCACGGATTCTGATGGTAGACGGAAATGTGTGGCTACATGCCGGTAAAGACAAGAATATTACATTCAAGACTTTCGGAAATGGAAAAATCTACGTGGATGACACTGATGTTTCGAGACTTCCAGATGTAGTAAGTGTGTAATGTTATGAGATGTGTAACAACCAATTCAACAACAAAAATATAAAAAAAATAGAAGTTTATTTGAACTTCATAGCGACTCCTTTGCAAACATAAAATTTCATGGTAGGTGGTGAGCATATGCTGATGGTTTCTTCGCTGCGTCCACTTCGATGAACTTGATGAGGTCAGCACGTTCGTCAGCTTTTTTCAACCCGGCGAAAACCATCTGAAAAAATGAATAAGACTATTGTATCTGTCGTTCTAGATAGTACCTTAGTTCCCGGAATGTACTTCTTTGGATCGGCCAAGTACTCGAACAACGTTTGTCGATCCCAGACGACTCCTTTGTTCTTGTTGGCTGCTGAATAATCGAATCCGGCAACTTGTCCCGACTGTCTTCCTATGACTCCATTCAGAGTTGGTCCTGTCTTTGTTTGAAGGGAGTTGACAACGTGGCATTGCTCGCAACGTTGTTTGAAGATCTAGATTGGTCAATTTGAAATCAGTGGGGCTGGGGACATGTTTACCTTCTTTCCTTTCTCATAGTCGCCTTCTGGAATTGCTCCTCCGGATGCGGAATCGGACTTCTTCTTGCCCATGTTTCAAGAACTGACTGATTTTAGACTGTTTGGTTCGGGACGGATATGATGGCTCTCGGTGGAATACATGTCAAGAAAAAAACTATACCGATACGTACCACTAAAAATCGCGTGAATTTTTTGTGATGATGACTTAGAAAACTTTTCAAATCTCCAAATTCGCGATGATACCGTAAATCTGTATTAGAAGTGCCCCTTTAATAGAAGGGACCCTCTAATAGAAGGACCCTCTAAGATGGGCTTGGGAAAATAAAAGGCCTCTTGTAATAGAAGAGTCCCCGTAATTGAAGCCACCTGTAAAGAAGGTCAACTTTCAAAATGTGTTCTGAAAAAATAAAATTACCGTACGTTTTCAATGAAAAATATTCTGGAAGTTCTACAAGTTCGCAAAAAAAGTAGAAGCCCCTCTAATTGAAGGGCCCCTATATTAAAAGGGTCCTCCGGGGGTACCTCGGAACAATAGAAGGGCCGGTCCTTCTAATACAGCTTGTACGGTAGTTAGAAATAGGGAAAACCTTTATTTTTTTCAGGCCTCATTCAACCAACTTGTTGGAAGAGTAGACAATGCTTACCAGATGTTTTTGTCGTTGAAGAGCCGACAAGATACAACGAACTCTGCTGTGAGAGTTGTTTTAAATTCAGCAAAGCATTCTCTAATTGCGGTTAGGATAATTGAAAGAAGTCAATATGAAACAAAACTTTCAGATGCGAAATTTGACGATAGAAGTCAGGAATTTGAAGAAGTGGAAGGAAGACAAGACAAACAGAGACATGAGAAGGCGTGGATTGTTGGTGAAGATGACGAGGCAGATAATGTAAGAAGTTGTAAACCAACAGTTTTCAAATTTCAAGATTTTAGAAAACTCAACAAATTGATTGACATGAATAGTTGTGAGCCTAATAAATGCAAAAACGGTGCCACATGTATTCCACAAGTCGGTCCTAAATTTACCTGCCTTTGTCCTCCACACTTCACAGGACAAACTTGTGAAGCTGACGTTGATGAGTGTTCTGTCTACAACGGAACCATGGCTGGATGTCAGAATAATGGAACATGTGTAAACAGAAGAGGAGGGTTCGACTGTGAATGTCATTCTGGTTACCACGGCCCTCTCTGTCAATATCATATGTCAGCATGCTCAAAAACTTTCGAACTCTGTGGTCCGCATGGCCATTGTATCGAGAATATTTTAGATACAACTATTTCATCTTCTGGTGAAGCGAACGCCTACAAATGTATCTGTGATTGGGGATTCAAGGTGTCAAATGACAAGAATAATCCAACATGTGTAGATGTAGATGAGTGTGAATCGAATCCTTGTCATCCAGGAGTTGATTGTGTCAACATGCCAGGCTCATTCGTCTGCTCCGGATGTCCAGAGGGATACAAAAGTAAGATATAGTCAAGATATAGTCATCAGAAAACTCTGAAAAGGAATGTATTCTTTTAGTGGAAGGAAACTCATGTGTTGATGTTGATGAGTGCCAAGGAGAAGTGAAAGTATGCTCCCCGCTTGTCAAATGCTTCAACACTATTGGGTCATACTACTGTGGAGACTGTCCAGATGGTTACTCAGGATCCGGAGAGACGTGTAGCAGGGATGACGTCTGCGAAGATAACAAATGCCATGAGCTGGCTACCTGTAAACCAACCGATGAAAGTTATAGTGCAGTAGGTGCATACATTTGTTACTGTCCCGACGGATATGTTGGTGATGGAGTCGGAGAAGATGGATGTGTCAAATCAAAAAGTACAGTATGCCAGAGTAACGAATGTTTCAATGGAGGAAAGTGCAAGGTAAAGAAATGATTCTCGGTAAACACATAAACATTTTTTTGCAGCCAACCAGTGCAACACAATACCAATGTATATGTGAAGATGGATTTTCTGGAAAGTTCTGTGAGAAGACGTCTCCGTGTCAATCGAACCCTTGCCTCAATGGAGGATCGTGTGTTGTTGTGGACGATTCGGCGTACTGCGATTGTCCAGAACACTTTTTCGGAAGGACTTGCGCCGAAGAAGAAGAATGTATGAATTTTAAATATTTTTTAAAAATTATGGTCAACCAAAAACTGTTATTTCAGATTGTGGAGCTCACTTCACCCACAAAACTGGAAACTATTCGTTCACATTCCCAGCTAGAAATAAAACGGACCCGGCTATTTGCGACTTTGTCTTCAATATTCCAGCAGTCAGTTCGGCAGTGAGAATCAGTTTCACTTCTTTCGATGAGTTCACTCAAGAAGGAGACACACCTACTGATTGTACTACCACTGATGGCAATCTCACTCTTTATGATGGTCCTAATGATTCATCTCCTGAATTCGCTACATTCTGTGGAGACTCTCACAGTGTACATGCTCCACTCAGTGACATGCCAATTACAATGACATCTACCGGAGCTATGATGAGATTCAGAGGAACTCAAGGAACGTTCAGTATTGAATGGGAGACCATTGAAAGAAGTAGGTGTTGTTATCATTGAGAGAGCTTAAGGCTTTGTATTCAGAGTGTGGATTCCGAACTTCGAAACCTGAAGGAATGTTATCTGTACCACAAAACAAGCAAGACATTGTCTGCGAGTGGTTCATTTCTGCTCCTGGAGGAAAAGTAATTGAAATTACTATTCCACCGATCGTGATGCACTCCAAGGAAAATGAAAATTGCGATCAGAATTCTTTAGAAATCTTTGACGGATATTCTACTTACGACAGACATCGTATTCTAGAATCATGTTCATCAAGCCTAGAAGCTCAAACTCTCAAATCAACTGGGCCATTCCTTTCTGTCTCTTTTGTCAGTAACATGTTACAAAGTGTCAGTGGCCTTGAAACAATTCGTGGCTTCACTTTGAAATACAAATTCGTCGATCCGGATAGAACATGTGGAGCGGAAATTGATAATGTTAACAATGACTTCGACTTCAATGGAGTTATTGAATCTCCCAACTACGGCAGTTTGTATCCCCCAAATATGGATTGCACATGGAAAATCAATGGAACCTTGGGAAATGGATCTTATAGTGGAGACATGGTTTTGAAGCTAACGTTTGAGAGTTTCGATGTGAAATCTGGATTCAGTGCGAATGGACCTGGTGTCATGCATTGTGAGTTATAAAGAATCCGTACAAAAAATGACGGGTATTCAGACCGATCCTTTCGTCGTTTGTATCCAATAGATGGAGATGTAGTCTTCGGTCGAGGTGGTTTGTCTAGATTAAGTGCTTATCGCAACATGATGGAATTCGGAACATGCACCAATGACTACTTGAAAATTCATGATGGAGATGGAAACATGCTCTCAGAAGGGTGCAATCCCAGAAAACCTCCAAATGAGCTGACTGTCACTAATCCGGCGGCAGTTCTCGTTTTTCATTCTGATGCTGCCGATCAAGGAAAAGGGTTCAGGGTTCGGTATGAAATGAGTGAGTTGATGAAAAAATAAACATTTCATTTCATTTTTCTGGTTTCAGTGTGCCAAAAACGGGTCAGAGGAAACGGAACGATTCAAACATGGAACTTCCCGAACGGAGGAGCTGCTGGGACATGCACATATGTCGTTGAAGCGCCTAAAACTCATGTTATCAATATTCGATTTTTGACAGTTGGCTTGAGAGTTCTTCCCATGTCAGAGTGTTTCTATGCACCAAAGGACCTTAGTTCATATGAAAATTATGTGGAGGTATGATGGGAAATACTATAAAACCTGTTATAGAGGGGCCCTCTAACAGCAAAGTGTGCGACAGTTTTTCTAGTTTCCTGTCGAAAGTATAAAAAAATTATCACAAACTTTTCATCAGTGGACACATTTTTGATATCTTCCTCAAACTAGACAGTGTGTCCTCAAACTAGACAGTGTGCTCTTCTATTCAGGTTCTACGGTAACTAGTTTTGGATTACTGTATCATCTTTTCAGCTCTCTGGTGGTCGTAGTGACAACCTGTTCTTCAATCGTCGCTATGTCTGTGCTCGTTATCCGTTCGTGGAAGGATCTTGGCTTTCTGTATCGGCATCTCGTCCTTTGAAAATTACAGTTGCGAGTGATGGAAACCCTCTATTTAAGGGCCTCAGTTTGGAATACAAGACCACTGATGTTGGTTGTGGTGGATTATTCTCCAGTATGACTGGAACGATCTCTTCTCCGAACTATCCAGAAAAATACTTGGCCCACATGCACTGTGTCTATCAAATCTACGTTTCCTGGTCCAGAGCTGTCAAACTCACTTTCGACGTTTTTGATTTAGAAGTTACGCCAACAAAAGGTTGCGAATATGATCGTGTTGAGATCTACACAAGCTATCACAACGAAACCGTTCATGGAGACTTGCTCGGAAAGTTCTGTGGATCTATGATACCACCGGCGATATTCAGTACATCTAATACAATGGCAGTTGTCTTTGTTTCCGATCGATCAGTGGCAGGAGCAGGATGGAATGCTAAGTTTGAAGCGATTTCCAGAAGAACCACATGTGATTATACAATGACTGCTCCAAGTGGTTCTTTGGTGTTCAATCCAGATATGGGAACCAAGTACGACAAATGTGAATACCATATTGCTGTTCATGACAACCGACGAATTCTTTTGAAAATGGAGAATATGACTTTGCCATGTGGAAAGAGCAGCCTGTCATTTAGAAATGGTCCAACAGAAACATCTCCTCCATTCCTTTCGATTCCTCCAGAAGTTTGCACCCCTCAAGTCAACTACATGCCGATGATCCGATCATTCAGCAACCGAGTTACCATTGTTTTCAAGTCAGTCAACACAGAAGGATCCTTTTTCAATCTGACTTATGAAACCATCGCAAGTGGTAAGTTAGGGATTCCCTACCCTTCAAAAAACCTTCAAAACAAACTTTTCAGGATGTGGTGGTCGTGTTGATGGTCTATCCGGTGTTGTTTCTGCTCCACAATATCCACTTAGTGATAAGAAGAATATGAAGTGTGAGTGGACAGTTGCAGTTGCTCTTGGAAACAAAGTTCGATTTGCTCTGACTGCTCTCGATGATCTATCTTCTTCGGATGCTTCCGGATTCTGCCCTCTTTTTGCTGCCAATCGTCTTGATGTGAGTTTCAACTAGACTTAATTTTATATGTATCAATTCTATTCCAGTTCTTCAACTCTGCACGTCTTGGAAACTTGCATCTGAAACGATTCTGTGCTAAAGAATTGGCATCAGAGCCAATTACTTCGGATGACAATGAGCTTCTCATCCGTTACAATCAAGCTGGTGGTTTTCAATCCAACAAAATCTTTGGATTCTCCGGTCATTTTACCACTCTCTGTAAAGATATCGTTCTTGATGGCATTAGCGGAAATATTCAGAATCCTGGGTACCCCTACAAAGTGCACAACAGTCAATACTGTACTTGGACTATTCGTGTCCCGAAAGGAAATCGAATCATTGTAACTGTTCATGAGTTCTCTGTTTCTCAAAATAGATTCTATTCCTATCAATCGACACCGTGCAAATCGGACATGTTGAAAGTGGATGATACGGATTTGGCAGAAGCTCAAGTTACATTCCAAAATACACAGCACAACGTTACCAACTCTATCAACAAATTCTGTGATCGAGCAGTTCCGAGAACGATAAAATCAAGACATAACACAATGAAATTGACTTACAACAGTCAATCGGATCCGACGAACAAATTCTGGCTCAGTTGGAGTACTCTTGGATGTTCGTGGGATATTAGCTCTCCACAATCTTTGATGATCACAAGAGATCATATTGACACGGAAGTGGATGAGTTTGAATGTCAAATCAAGATTCAGGCTCCTGTAGGAAAACAAATTAACTTGAATATCACTAAATTTGATTTGCTTCCTGTTGCCACTTCGGATTGCACCTACAAAACTAATTCGAATTTTAATGGAATGGCATTGTTCATGGGTAGCAGTAACGCTTCTGGAGCGGCTTTTCAATCGTTCTGTTCACCGATAAGCCAACAGATTATCTCTTCTCATACCAACGAGCTTTTCATTCACATTTCGGTTTGTTAATTTATCAGTAACCCCCAGATCTATAAACCTTTCAGTTGAACAAGGATCGTCTGAAGGATGTTGTATTGATGCATGCTAAAATTGATTTCGTGGATACACCAGCTGATAAGGATGCTTGCGGAGGGATTATTAACTGTAAGTTTCATGTAACAATTCCGCAGGTGTTAAAGAGTTTCATTTTCAGTGGAACGAGGAAGCGATAGAACAATTTTGTCTCCTGGATTCCCTAGTCCATACCCACTTGGAGTAAAATGTCGTTGGCTAGTGAATGCACCACCAGGATACCATATCGAGTATACAATTGAAGAGTATCACACTCCCAACTACCACGAAGAAAGACAGGCCAGAACGAAATTCAATCTAGGTAATTCGAATGTCACTTGTCAGTGGTATATGCCATACAATGATGGAATGCTTACATTCTATGTGGGCAATGAGTAAGTGAAAAAACTAATTGAATTGAAAATGATAAAGAGATTTTGCAGAACTAATCAATCTCCATTCGAGAAAATTTGCGACGAGTCGAGTACACCAAAAACATTCGAGATGTATGCCACACGATCTTTGATTACTTTCGAAGGAGCATCCAATTTGATGGGTCAGAAAACTGGACAAGCTGTCCGTGACAAGAATGGAGTGCGAATTTCAATCAGAGCACGGTGCGGAGGAGTGGTATACGCTGAATCAAAACCACAAGTGATATCAATGTACCATGACGAAGAGGAAGGATCTTGTAATGTAACAATTAAGAAGAAGGATCCAGAAGACTCTGAAATCTACATCCGATTAGAGGAGTTCGCGAAGGTCAATGCTTCTTCTCTGCTCACAATTGAAGATAAGATTGACATTTATGTTGGGGGAGTTCTGAAGTACACCGAAATGCTCGCCGCAGATACCACCATGCAAGAATACGCAGCAGAAGATGATATGATACTCAGTGTGAAACATGCGAATGCTGCACATTCAGCTGTTATAGTAGTGAGTACCGATGAGAGAAACTGTGGTGGAGAAGTGAAACACTCTCAAGGAACCATTTATGCTCCAACCAGAAATCTCGATAAACCATTCGATTGTGCATGGACTGTCACCAATAATGATGGAAATACTGTTACTGTCAGTATACTGTAAGTTTTGATTGTCATAGTATGAGAAGTTTGACTAATATCCTTTCAGTGATCACAACTTGAAATCTACACCTAATTGCACGGACTCTTACATTGAAATAAGAAAAAATAACAGTTCTGGACCATTGCTCAAAAGACAGTGTGATATAAGTTCCATTGACACAACAGAGTTCGAAGCACAAACTCTCTACATCTTCCTAAGATACCGCCCGTCTACTTCTGTTAGTGAAGATGAGGAAACAGATGTGGATCAACAAGATTCTAACTCAAGACCTCTGTTCAAGGCTAGATATGAGAAGGTGTCTGGTGGAAGACCAAGTAACCGTTTCGTGTCGAATCCGATGATTGATGGAGTCGAAACTATGGTTTGGACGTTAGATACCGCAGATGAGAAGGCTGGAATCCTAGTGATGTTCCATGAACTTTACATTCCGTCACCGAGCTCTTATTTGAGAGTGAGTTTATTTTATTGTAAATTTTGAAGGATACATCGAAGGTTTCAGTTCACAATAGCTGGTGAAAATGACGATGTGGAAACCGTCGGCTATCAGGAAGTGACAGGAACAATGATGCCAGAAGAGAAATTCTTCGAGACAAGTGTGATTCGAGTTTATGGAAAGCTTGATAAGAATGATAGATTCTCATTCTCCTGGTACGCTGTGCCATTGAATTCGAGAAATATGACAGAAGCGAAAAAAGAGAAAAGTAGGGGTTGAAAAACTTTACCTTCAATTTGAATTGCTCTGTTTTCTAGAAGTCTACGATTGTGGCGGTGATATTATTGCCTCATATGACTGGAACTCTTTCAACAACCCATTGCCACCTGGTCAATCATCTGGGTATGAAGAGAATATGCACTGTCGTTGGATTATCAGAAGACCAATGTTCACTGGAATTGAGTTGAAATTTGATTATCTAAATTTGGAAGATGCTGACAATTGTAATTATGATTTTGTTTCCTTCCGCCTTCAGTTTGAAGAGTTACCGTAAGAAAAGTTTATCGCCTTTCTGTGAGAACTTTTTCCAATTTCTAGAGAAGAAGAAGGAGAGCCAGACTTCACCGGTGCCAGCAAACATTGCACACTAGCTCGCTCCAACGGCACATTCCACTTTTCCGTCAACAAAGCTCTCCATATTCATTTCGTTTCGGATCGATCGAGACATGGAGTCGGATTCAAACTTAACTATCGATTGAGTGGGTTGATAATTTTTGATCCCAATGAGCAGTTTCATTTTCAGCTTGCAACGCCTTTGAACACGTTCGCCCTGGTGTATTCTTCGAACATACGTTGACAAGTCCAAACTATAATTTAACATACGGGCCAAGAATCTGGAATTGTCAATATACGTTGATAATGGAGACCAACCGAAAAATTTTTGTTCAAATTGTGGATCTTGACATGGAAGACAGAACTCCATGTGATCCTGATAACTCGCTGGTATTGGGAAATCGGTACTCTGAGATTCAGCCAGCTCTCACCCAGTATGCAGCAGCTACAAAGTTTTGTGGTCGTTTGGATCAAGGAGAACCTGCTAACTTCACAAGTGCACGTGGCAGACTATTCATCAAGTTCAGTTCTACACCAGCCAGTCGAAGAGGGTTCAAGCTGATTATGAAGGAACACATGACAGAATGCTCATCCGGATTGATTCAAGTGGATGAGAACACACCATCTAGAATTTTGCAATCTCCGGAGTTCCCGCAGCGTATTCCGAATTCTGTGGAATGCGAGTATGTGATGACCACACCAAACGGACATCGAATCATGCTCACTTTTGATCCAGACAATTTTGATATGGATGGAAATGGAGAGAACTGTAGAGATCACTATGTGGAAATTCGAGATGGACCATCTCAATTCTCGAATATGATTGGAAAGTACTGTGGAAATAAACCACCATCTAGTATCTACTCAACCAACAATTTCCTTTACATGAAGCTTCATACATCGGAATATGGAAGAAGCAAAAAGTTCTTAGCCACAGTCGAACTTGCAACTTGTGGAGGAACAACCATTGTGCAAGAGAATGTCACTTCCCATATAACATCTCCAAACTTCCCTGATCCGTTTACAACACCAGTTCAGTGTCAATGGAATGTCAGAAGTCCCAATACTCATATGATTGATACTAAAATGGATCATTTGTGGCTCTTCTACAACCAGAACTGCACAATGGAACAAGTGATCGTTCGTGATGGAAATTCTACAGCAACACCATTGATCGGACCTGCTTGTATCACTAGACAGGTTCCGGAAGGCTACAGTCGAAGTGCTTCAAACCAACTGACCGTTCAATTTTCATCCAATGCGACTGCTTCTGTATAGGATCTAAAGATTCAAACGGAGAATAATATTTTGAATATTTTCAGAGAGGCAGTCGAATGTATTGCAATCAAAAGAAATGCGGTTTCGACTTGGCAGTTAAGCTCAGCAAAGAAAGTGAGGCGATTTCCCAATCGAATTCAATCTCGTTTCATTTCAAATTATTTCAGAATGCGGTGGAGTCATCGATGGTGTTTCGGGAACACTTACACCTCCTGGATATCCAGATAAACTTCTGCCACATGTGAAATGCGTTTGGGATTTCAAATCAAAACCAGGCATGATTTGGTCTTTCAAAATTAATTGGCTAGCGGAGGAACATTATCGGAGTACAGGATTTGTGAGAACACCAAAGAATAACTGCTTCTTGGATCTTATGGTAAACAAGTTTGAGCTTGAATCTTCACTAAATTTTTTGTTTAGATTCTCGAAGGAATACCTCCATATACAGGTGCTCAAATGAACAAACATTTCTGTAAAAACATTACTAGGATTTATTCAAGTACCGACATATCTCGCATTACTTACGATGATTCCTCTACAAGAGAACATCTAGCAATGTATGGATTGGATGAAGGATCTTCGAATGAGACGTTCTACGCTCCATTCACAGTTGAATATCTAGCAGTTCCAGCTACAAAGGAGACAAAGGGATGTACAATGACAGTTGATACGAACAGAACATTAGAGTTCCATGGTTACGCGAAACTCAATGGAAAAGGAATCGGAGTTGATGGTGTGTTTAACTTTTTTGAGAACGAATCTCATCCAATCTCTTTAAAGAACTTTGTCATGTATCAATTGAGAAACCAATCAACTACGGAAGTGTTTATCTCAAATTGGACAATTATAAAGTGGAGGTCAGCTTCCAAAGGGACTTGGGAGTTTGTTTGTCATGGGGATCTTATGTCAAGATCCAATGTAAGTGAATCCTGCTGAATTGAATGGAAGTCGCATTGTTCCAGCCACCGAACCAGTACCACTCTCAAAAACGGTCTGTGATATCACTGCTATGAAGGAAAATGTGACGGAAATGATTTATGTGAACCCAACGATTGATGTCTTTGTGGCCCAGCTGTTCCGCGATCATGACCCTCAAGAGTTCAATTTGACTATCGAGTTCCAAAAGTGTGGAGGAGTCATAACGTCTCCAAATCGTGGCGAAATAACAAGTCCTAACTTTGGAACGGGACAGAAATATCTGCCAGGATCGAAGTGTAGATGGATTCTAGAAGCTCCAGAAGGACAAATTGTGAAGGTAAGAAATAAGAAAAAAGAAATTTATTTGCCATAAAAACTGTATGCACTTCCATAACCCATTGGACCATATCCTCCGTATGATCCATATCCACCGTATCCTCCATAGCCGTATCCAGGGCCATAAGCCATCGGTGGATAACCTCCGTAAAACATTGGACCACCACCGTACTAAAAAATAGAGGATTTTGAAAAGAGTTAGATTTACCACTTACAAACTGTCCTTGGACAAGAACGAAATTAATTGTAATTAATAGAAAAAGAGGCAAGAAATGTGTTGCGATCATTATTCTCGATTTGAATAAAATTTTGCGTAGTCATGTTACTTTTTATACGAGTACCTCGAGTGTTTCGTCCTTGTCCAACATAATAAACAACTCAAGTAGTTTTTTTAGGTGAACTTGTCAAAAAAACAAAGTAAAAATAATACGAATTTAAAAATTGTAGGTAAAAATTGTGGAAATGAGAATCATGTACGAACATCATTGTGAAAAGGATCATTTGATTGTTGGAGAAGGACGACAGGCTGAACTGAATCCTATCCATAGATACTGTCACAATATAGATGGCGAAGCGGAGCAAAAACTGGAAGATCGATTCAAAACCATCAAAACTCATGGAAGATACATGACACTTCAATGGGTAACTGATATGAAATCTGAGGAAGCCGGATGGAAATTGGAATATGAGTTTGTGAATGAAAACGATGAATGTGGATTTCATGCAAGAGGAATGTCTGGCCAAATTCGTTCGCCACATTTTGGAGAGAAGGATTACGACAATGACTTGGAGTGTGTATGGGATATCCAAGTACCAGTGGGATATCATGTCAATTTGAAGTTCAGAGATTTCGATATAGAAACATCTGGAAATTGCGAAAAGGTATAATTTAGAGATGCACAAAACTGGATACCAAACTCTAAATAGAAAGTAATAATAATTAAATAAAATTCTGTCTTTCAGGATCAACTCATGGTTTCTCAAGAGCACTCCACTCGCGCCAACTCTCCCAATGGTGATTATTACTTCTTGTTCCAAGACGAGGAAAAAGAAAATCCACTCTGCGGAGTCATGCATCCATTAGACTGGGATTCGGAATCCAATCGTATCCGTCTCAACTTTACAACGGACTCCTCAACAACAGCAAAAGGATTTAGAATCGACTGGGAAGCGAAATGCGGAACAGTTTATCGATTAAATCATGGAGTCATTTCATCGCCACATTACCCAGAAGGATATCCAAATGAAGAAGCCAGCTGCACTTATTTGATTTCTCCACCAGATCAAAACTCTGTTATAGCACTCAAGTTCTCTGATTTTGATTTGTCTAGCATCAAGAGTTTGTTATTTTTGTGATTCTTGAAATCTACCAAAATCTTACAGCAAGTTTCGGTCGTTCTCCATGCGAAGAGGACTATCTTCAAATCATCGAAGCTAGCACAGATCGTGTACTTTACACAATTTGTGCTGGAAGTGCCGTACCAAGTGATCCGATGGTTTTCAAGGGACCAATTGGTTTGAAGTTTGTGACTAGTAAATCATTCCTCTGGTCTTTGGACGATACGGAGACTGTGAAGAATAAGAAAAAGACTAGAGGATTCCAGCTAGCTTATTCTATCAGCAGTGAGTTCCTATTTCTGCTTATCAGTTAAACCTTATCAGTTTCAATTTGAAAATGTTCAGAATGTGGTGACAACATTGAGCTCCGAGAAGGGACCAGCTACCATACTGTTGTGACCAGTCCTGCATTCCCTCTTCCATATGCTAAAGATCTCGATTGTGTTTGGAATATCACAACTGAACCTGATCGTCAATTGTACGTTCGATTTGAGAGGATGGATTTGGAAGCGTTTATGGATTGTACAGCTGATTATGTGGAGATATTTGACTCGTCAGATATTCAGGCAAACAAAACACTTGGCAAATTCTGCGGTACCATGAAACAGTAAGAATTCGTAAACTTCAATATTTCCCTATTCTGAGTTTTCAGAGCACCACAATACCGTATCATGTCGACTGGTCCAAATATGTTGATTCACATGAAAACAGATTTCAACGTGAATGCTGGTGGTTTTAGAGTGATAGTGCAGTCAACACTAGGAGAAAAAGACGGATGTGGAGGAAGGCTGACAGCTACAGATAGTTGGCAAACACTTTCAAGTCCTCAAGATGACGATGGAAACTATCCGAACTCTTTGATGTGTGGATGGACCATCAGTGGTCCTGTCGACAGTCAACTTCGAATTCGAATCGATTCAATTGACACGGAACAGTTGGAGTACCCACCAGGAGTGAAACCGGATCCAGAATGCATTGATGTATTAAATATTTATGATGGTCAGGAATCTTTCTCTCCGCTATTGGCAGGAGATATCTGTACATCTGATAATCCACCTCCAAAATCATTACAAACCTCCCATAGACATGCTTTCTTGACATTTAGCACAGATAGAGATGGAGTTGGAAGAGGGTTCAATATTTCTTACAAAATTGAAAATTCTGAATGTGGAGGATGGCTTCAGGCAACTTCTGACATGAAAACGTTGGTATATAAAGGAATCACCAAAGAAGAGAGTGAGTTTGAAGATAGTGAATCTGTAACGAAATATGAGAAAAATTACAGATAAAGAAGTTGATAAGGGACGCTCATTCCAACGGTGTCGCTTTATGATTCGAGGAACAAAGACAGAACCAGTAATCGTAAACTTCAAGTGAGTCTTTTGTCATAAATGGAAATCAAGTAATTACTATTTCAGACAATTCAACATCCCGTCCAAGGCTGAAGACTGTTCCGATGCATATGTGGAGGTAGAACATTGAGAAAATCTTATAAACTTCCAAGTATTATTTCAGATACGAGACGTCGGTTCCCTTCAAGAGTGTCAACATCCAGCTTGTGCCAGAGAACCGAATCAAAGAAAGATTACAAAACTCTGTGGTAGCCATGTTCCAAACGCCCATGTCTCCAATACTAACACAATCCAGGTAAGGTTTTACAGCTTTGAAATCTCTGAAAATAAAATTTCAGATCATTGTATCCGCTGGAATCGTACCTACTGCTAACCACTCACGATCAATGTTCAAGTTTGAGTATAACCTATTGGATAGTAAGTTTTTTCTCGATAACTGATTGACATTTGGCGCTTTTCAGACTGCAATAGAACAATTGATACAAATACTATCAAATCTGGAAGGCTCACGAGCCCCAATTATCCGCAGCCTTATTCGGAGAATTCCACATGTTTCACCAAACTGCAACCTTCAAATCAGAAAATGCTTATGGTTTTCCAGTAAGTCATTCAGATATATCAATGAGGACTAATTGATTTTCCAGTGAGCTTGTATTAGAAGAACCTAACACTGCAACCAATTTATGTGAATACGATCATCTTCTGGTTAGTTCGAGCCTCTAATTTTTAAAGTTAATCTTCAGAGATTTTAGTTCCGAGAAGAAGGAACAAACGGAACAAAATACTGTGGAACGAGTCTCCCTGCAACGTTCGTATCATCTGGAAAGGATGTGACAATGGAATTCAAATCAGATCATTCTTTGAATCATGGTGGATACGATATGTCCTACTATACTGTTGTCTCACAAAGGGACAACTTCATTCAGTTTGCTGATTCTTATGAGCTAGACGGAATTATTTCTAGTATTGGATATCCGAATGGTTACAATAAATCAATTTCACAAGTGTAGGCAGCTTCTCAAGTTTCAAAGTTTGATTCCTTAATTTAAGGTTTACTCTCCGTCCTCCGAACAGCCACGATTGCTCTATTATCTTTTCTGATGTGAATGTCGGATTGGTAAAACCAAAAGAAGAATGCAGACAGCTAGCTGAGGAATATATAGAGATTGAAGTCATGTACAAGGGAGAGAAAAGATCGGCAAACATCAGGGATTGCACATTCTCAAACGTGGGTTACCAGTTGAGTCAAACTTCTTTATACTGGTGATTTTTCAGAGAAACCCCCGTGAACTGATTCTATCAGCTGATAGCACTGATAGATATGTTAAATTAACGTTCCGCTCAGATTCAAAGTCAGAAAACGATGGACGTGGCTTCAAAATAAGATGGGCCTGTCACAACATCGGAAGGACCGAAGCAGTTCTGTCCAATTAATTTTTGAATAGTTTATTCGAATTTGTTGCAACTATTCTGTGAAAATGAATATTTAATTAAGTTGTGTACGAGTTGAGCTGATTTTGGAAGCAAGGTCATGCGGAATTGGCTTCCGAAGAATTGACTTCTTGATGAACTTTCGCATGTCTTGGTTGAACATAAGGGTTACGAACCTGCATAATATATATAATATTTTCTTTTCAAGACCAACAACCCAACCCATCGAGAGCGTGTACAGATACCCAAGCAAATGAGGTACTTAAGAATAGAAGCCACTGATTTTTAATCATTGGAGACAAAATAAAATATGTTATGAGTTCACATGTGAAGATGGATCCTTGTGCACATGTCTGCTTTAGAAAACTCATTTCTCGAGATCTTTGTGCTGCTGCCCTTGCATCTGCTGAAGCTGTAGTACCTCGAATCTGAAAACAAAAACTTCCCGAGACAAATATTTTTTTTAACCACAGAACCTTTTTTCTGAGTTGGTGAACACGGAAAACTGTTAGGACATCAATGATGACTACCAGTAAAATGGTAAACAAAAACTTGCAAAAATCGGTGTAAAACACAAAAATGAGGCAGAACTCGATAGGTGGGAAATTGAAGAGGAAGACTTCTTTATACCAGTTCAGTGTGCACCCCATGAAATAATTTGCAAACGTGTATGTCAAGGAAAATAGAATTAGCACTGTTGCAACACGATGAGTATTACGGATGCTGGAAAATAGAGCTTTTTGATAATTAGATCAGACTGAAAATGTTACCTGAAGATTGTGAAGTACTTTGTAGGATAAAAAACTGCACAAAATCTGTTAAAGGATATGAGAAGATGAGACTGTGTTGAGAGTTCGTAGCCGAACATTAGCCAGTAACCAGCATAATGTAGATGATTCATGAGAAATTCGTTGTTTCTAAAGCTCTCTGTAAAGTTCTCTACACTCAATTTCAAACTCACAAATAGATAGTTGGGCAGACAAAAAAGAAAAATATGGTGGAATGAATGGCATCTCCAAATGCTTGGTACGCAGTCAATATTCCGAAAGAATGTTTGGATGATGGGATTTGTCGATTTGCAATAACCACTGTCCAGTTGAATGCGACTCCGAAAAATGATACCTGAAACTAGTAATTAAATTCTCTAACTTTTCTAAAAACTACCGTACCAATCCTAAGACAGAAGCTACGAAGGTGGTAGTCTCCATGCTTCTCAAAAATTTTGATTTCTTGATTCTAGCGATTTCTTTTTATAAGCAATATGAATGGAAAATCAAATCAGGATATAGGTTTATTTTGACTTTTCGTCATTACCGGTATTGTTATTTCTGTTTACTTGTAAAAATTGTATTACTACGTTTTTTTACTACTTCCCTGTAGTGAAATGAACATGGATAATCTTACAAGATGGAAAGACGTCTAAAATCTAAGTTTTTTGAAAATCGCAAAAAGATTCAATGGATTTTAAATAAAAGTCTGATGCGGTAATTGACTAACATTTCTAAAATGTCTTTCATGTCTCTTATTTTACCATGAAACCTGTATTAAAAGGGCCCCTTTAATAGAAGAGCCCTCAACAAAATGCGCTGTTTTAAATAAATAATTTCGGAACGTTTACAGTGAAAAATATTCTGAAAATTCTACAATTCCAAAGATAATTTGTTGAAAACGCAGTTTTTTCTCAACAACTTGCTCAGTTTTGGTGGAATTTATAAATTTTTATGAATTTTGAATGTTAATTTATCAAATGTTATAATGGGAAAGTTTGGTAAAATAGCAGGATAAACAGAAAGATATCCTCTAATTGAAGGACCCCTGTAATAGAAAACCACTTCGGATGGTCCTTGGAACAATAGAAGAACCTACCCTTCAAATACAGCTTTACGGTAGCAATCTCTTATTTCTCGGATTCTGCACACTATTAAAAGATTCAAAATTTTATTTTGAAATTTTCGATATTACAAGAATCAATATTTCATTCCCAAATAGTTTGGGTAATTATAAAATAGGAACCTAAATTTGAAAAAGGAGAAACCAGAAAGACTAAGAAAATGGACACAAAGCGAGAGTTTCTAATATTTACAAGTGAAGAGGAACATCAAAAAACTATTCTGAATCACAAATTCTGATATGATAATTTTAATGTCAGGTAAAAACTTATTTCATGAAAGCGTAACTGGGAATTCGACAACAATAATTTAGAACATTTAGGACAATATGTATTCTAGACAGAACTTTGCCCGTCCCACACATCATATAACCCCTTGGAGATCAAATAACGGGTACAACAACTGTTTTCATTCTGGTTATCAATAGATAAAAATACATTTTCTCGAGAAAATTCTATTTTCCCACGTTCGGTGCTTGCTGACAATCAACCTGCGAAACCGCTCGTGTATAGGTGACTCCGTTGAGAGTGACGACGTAATTCCAGATCCTATTTTCAGTGTTGCATTCCATTCGTATGGATATCGACTGCGGCATGTTTTGGTTGTCAGCTGGGCCGCCTTGACCTCCATTGAATATCATATAGACATTGTAACCGTTGATTGCAGAGCATGTTACTGTCATGGATGAATAGATTACGCCAGTAGCCATATCGGTTGTAGACATAAAACTGTAAATGAGATTTTTGTTCAGATCAGTGAAATTCTGGTGGTTTTTAGACTTCATGGTTGTAGAGTGAAAATGAAAACATAAACACTTGACATAATTGGAACGACCAAAAACCGAATAACTTGAATTTTTCAAACTCACTTGGTATAAGAGACAGTAACATCTACCTCCGGAGTCCCACCATCTCCCACTCCGTAAGAAATCGCGTCCGGATTACATGGAGCTGAAAAAAAGTAATTCGATCCGGAATTCGAGGTAAAATATTCTTACGAATTGTGGTTGTCGTGGTAGGCGTTGTAGTTGTAGTTGGTGTAGTTGTAGTAGTAGTTGTAGTAGTGGTCGTTGTAGTTGTTGTGGTTGTTGTAGTTGGAGTTGTCGTAGTTGTAGTCGTTGGAGTGGTAGTTGTGGTGGTAGTCGGTGTGGTTGTAGTCGTGGTTGTAGTTGTCGTTGTTGTAGGGGTTGTGGTAGTGGTTGTTGTGGGTGTTGTGGTTGTTGTAGTCGTTGGCTCAGTTGTTGTGGTAAGCTCAGTAGTTGTCGTCGCTTCAGTAGTCGTCGTCGTGGTAGGTTCTGTTGTCGGCGACGTAGCAGCACACGAGTCAATTACATGTAACCTAGAGGTTATTAGCAGAATATAGAGAGGTGTTGAAAACCATTTCATGACGCATTTGAAAACGAATCTAAAGATCTTGGACAGTTTCTTCGAGAATACGGGAGCGGAGGCGTTGAGATACAATAATGACTCTTGACCACGCCTCTTGAACTTTCAAAGAGGAAACGGACGACTTTTCACTTATTAGGAGAAGGGGGTAAGCATGAGGCGAAAAGTGAGATGAGAGAAGGGGTGTTTGGAATGGAGTTTCACCATAATTCGCCGAGAAACGGACTTGATCTTTTATAATAAATTTAAAAGATGTTGCATTTTTCAAAGGATTCAGTTTTTTTTTTTTGAAAAATAACGGAACTTTTTAAAAAGTGAAATAAAAACGAACAGAGGAGGATTGTATTTTATTGAACTTTTGATTCATAATTATTTGAGAAGCCAGTGTGAATAAAGCCTCTCATTTCCCGGGTATTTCAAAGATCGCAGTCACTGTTTCTAGAGAGTATTACACATTAGCCATATCTAGGTACAAAATGAATCAGGCCCAAGATCCAAATGTACATCGAAAAAGGGTACATCGAATTCTAAGGGTACAATGGTTTAGAGGGTACCTGGAATCTTGCAGTATAGAGAGTTCAAGCCTATAACTTTTAGGAAAATGCGAAATGGTCTATTGAAAAATGTTTTTTGCTCTCCCAAATATACCAAAAAATCTATCCTAGGAACAATGTACTCTAAGAATGGAATGAATCCTTTTTTGATGTACCCTTTAATACTAGGCCAATTCATTACATTACATGTATTCATTACATGTATTTTCATCACATTCATTTCATTACGATTCATTACATGTATTTTCTGTAGACGAATCCATCAAAGTTTTTATTTCTAAACAGTCTGGCCGTTTCCCAGACATAAATTCTTATTTTTATTGAACATCCATTCTTCACAAACAGAAAAAAAACAAAAAGCCCAGACAGCGATAGACATTGATCAATTCCAGACAGTCTTTCTTATTTTTTTTCCAAAAATTTATAAAATACATCTACAATATCGTACTTTCCAATTAAATGTATCTGTAGTTTGAATGGAAGACGAACACAGTGATGACGTAGAAAACCAGAAAAAGTGCTGCGATTCATTAGGGTCCAACGGCTTTTTGATTATCTTTGTTATCTGGAGATCAGAATCAAAATATCAACGAACATTCAAAAAAGAGAATATAATGATTTGGACAACTTTTACTCGTTTGAAATTTTAACAAAGACTACAATTTATTTAAAAAAATTAATGAACAATAGAAAAGGTTTCCAAATGATACGGTAGTGTGAAAAATAGGTTGCGATCAGCGAGGTGTTTGAGTACAAGTGACTCCGTCGACAGTGAGAACACCCACATCAATTTTAAAGAACGTCCACGTGTTTGTATCCGAACTGCAAGTTAATTCAACAGTAACCGAGCTAGGGAAGCCGTCGTTGTTTGAATTTACGTGGGGAGTTTGAGAAGGATCGAAATTCATTCGAACATAATCGGCAGAGTCTGTAGAGGAACAGGTTACTGTCATTGAAGTTGTTGTGACACCATTCGAAGTCATGGAGTTATAATTGAAATTTTTTTTGGTTTTTGTTAATTTTAAAATTACTTTAGCGACTGTACTTCCGGTTCTGTTCCTAGAATGACATCTGTTTGAGCGCAGGGTGCTGAAATTTTCAAAGATTGTAATTCACTGTTAAACGATTTTGGAAGTGGAAAACCATACTTTCTTCCATAGCCGTCGTAGTTGAAACTTCCGAAGTAGTACTGGAAACTGTAGATGTATCCATCATAGTCGTAGTTTCAGCTTCAGAACTAGTGGATTCAGTAGTAACGGACTCAGTTGTGGATGTTACAGGATCACTAACTGCTGATGTTGGAGCACAAGCATAAGTAGGGATGGATATGAGTAAGGGAACGAAAAGAAATAAGGAGAATATTCGTTTTGTGGACACCATCAAGTGCAAAGGGACCAAATTACATACAACCCGAAGAGTTTTTACATCTTTCCTGTCTCTCGCTTTTTATGGCCTGGCCTGCCAGACCATTTGCTTCACATTTTGGTGTCATTGTGAAAGTAAGTGTTTCTTACGACCTAATGCCGTGGGTTAATGAAAATAAAATTGTTTCGCGGGAATGAACACAGATTTTCTGGATTCCTTAAAACCTGCAATAGAAGGGCACTCCTCCTTACCCGACATTGTGATTTCCGAACTAATTTTTCTTGATTCCTAAGCAAGATATCAAAAAAAGTGTCAACTGATAAAACACAGCTGATACGGTATACTTTGATTTTTTCAGCTTAAAACTATGGTGACAGTTCAAAGTTAAAAAATCAAAAAAAAATTCTTTGAAAATTGTCAACTCTTGTTTTTGAAACGATTCTACCCCCAAACAAGTCGGAAAATAAAAATTGTTTATTGAAAAAAAAGCCCGAATTGAGAAAATAGATCCGGAAAATATAAATCGGCCACGGCCAAATATAATCGGCCACGGCCAAATATAATCGGCCACGGCCATCGGCGTTTATTGGGAAACTTTTTAGCACATAAATGATTACAAGACGTTTTATTTATAACATACCATTGGAAAAAAATTGTTTTGGGCATTTTAAGTTATAAGTTAAGAAACTGGAACTGGTGAAACACGAATTATAGTTCTCATAGATTCAGTGGTCACATCTCTACTAACAATACGTTTTCCAGAAGATCGATAGTTGAAGAGATACATTACCAATCTGTAGTTTCACATTTCCTATTTTAGAAGTTCTGCAATTTGTTTCCCCATCTACTCCAGGAACTAAAACTCCAAAAGCAATCAAAGCAAGTGAAATACAGAGACGATCACTTGAACAGTAAATATGAGAGACCATATTATTTGCAACATCCATTACACAAATCCAATCTTGAATACAAGACTGAAAGAAGAATCGAGCCGAAGTTTTTCGCCGTTGTTGGCTGGCTTCGGATGATAAATTGCTACGTGCCTTCTTCTGAATTTAAATGTTCTATTTTTTCGGGGTTTTTTCATTCGAGTCATGTTTAAAAAAACTTATCCCAATTTCTTACCCAACTCCAAATTAGTTTACCAGCAATCATGAGGTTCATGCTGTTCGTGAAAATCGCCAGAAGAAATATAGCAGAAACGGTGATTATAGTAATCTGATAGTTGCATGGAGTACTGTAGTATCCTATATGCTCAAATCCCATTGGCACCCGACAATTATCTAAAAACCAGAAGATAAGGCTCAAAAATCATTCGAAATCCCAACCAGGCAAGCCTATTAAAGTTGACAACCAAATTGCAATCGCCCAAGATACAGAGAGAGCCGTTACAGTAATCCGATTACTGTACTCTGGGATTTTGGTCGGGGTAAACCAAATCACCAAGAAGCGGTTTATCGTGATTATCATTTGTGTTATAGGACCTTGAAGATACATTCCGAATCCCATTGCTTGATTCAAATACGTGTTTAGAGATAATGGTCCGATTTGAGTGTATCTTAATGAGTAGCAGGCGGTATTTCAGATTTTTAGAATTTATAGATTTTAACATCCCTATGCTCTACGGCATGTTTCATATGTAACTCACAGAAAATCAGTTGGTCCTATGTAGAGGAAATAAACTGTCAACAGAACGAAGTTTGACACGGTTTTCGAGGTGCAAAGAATATAAAAGCTAGTTTTATCAAATGAAATGAATTTGAAAAACATGAAAAGATTCACCAGAATTCCGAGAAACGCGGAAATTATGATATGTCCTCCAATGATACGAGTAGCTTTTTCAGGTATCAGCATATTCTCATAGAATTCTTCCGCTGCTTTTCCTCTTCCGTGCCTGGTCTTTAGCTTTTATACCTACTCTCTGGTTAGACACTAATTTTAGGTATTTGGCCGAAGATTATATATTTTTGGTCTCACGAAATGCTAAAAACAAATATGAAAATACCAATCAAAACAGAATTGGGTGTGCAGATTTTGTTGTTTTTGGTGCTTTTTGGGTGCGAACTTTATCACTTTGCAACAAAGCTTTGTAAACTCGACATAACTTTTTTGAAGCTGATCAGTGAGACAAAAGTTCAGACACGACGAATGCTGAATGGGCTTTTCGATAAAATGAGAGAAGTTTTAAGCAGTTTTATCGATGAAAACAATTGAAGTTTTTTCCCAGTGTTTAATTGTTATTTGAAAAACTATTTTAAACAGTCCACGCTCTCCCACAGAACAATTCCGAACTGCAAATTAATTTTTGATCTACAGAAAAAAGTTTGGCGCGATCACAATTGCAGGTCTAAAACCATAATTTCAGAATTTTTTATCTGATTTTGTGGAGTTCCAAGATGATCCAAATGATTCTTAAAAAATTAATTAGTGGTTATAGATTCATGTATGGTCGTTTTCCGGAAGAAAAAAATGACAAAAATGCTCGTTTTGAAAGTTTTTTACAGAAAAAATCTATCTCCTCTTTTAGTTTTTGACATTTCTATGAGTTCTATAGCTCAAAAAAACCGCAATTATTTTCTCTACATTTTCTATGGACGAATTTTTAATTCGTCTGATAAAACTTTTTTTATAATCAAAAAACAACGCAAAAATGCTATTTTGTGCAATTTCATGAGGTTTTTGAATTATAAAAAAAGTTATATCAGACAATTTAAAAATTCATTCATAGAAAATGTAGAGAAAATATGTGCGGTTTTTTTGAAATATAGAAATTCTAGAAATGTCAAAAACTGAAAGAGGAGATTGATTTTTTCTGTAAAAAAAACTTTCAAAACGACCATTTTTGACATTTTTTTCTTCCGGAAAACGACCATACATGAATCTATAACCCCCCATTAATTTTTTAAGAATCATTTGAATCATCTTGGAACTCCACAAAATCAGATAAAAAATTCTGAAATTATGGTTTTAGACCTGCAGTTGTGATCGCACCAAACTTTTTTTCTGTAGATCAAAAATTAATTTGCAGTTCGGAATTGTTCTGTGGGACGGCGTGCAGTCGAAGTTTAGTAGTTCTTTACGAAAATTACAAGAAAATTGTAATTTTGAATTCCCCGCAATTTTTTGCGGGTCTCGCAACGCATACAGTAATCTGCGAGGCAAAAGCGCGCGATAGTCTTTTTTTAAATTCGTTCCCCTTTCCGGTCGTTTATATGCGGAAAACAGACTCAAAGCTGAACATTACATTGGTTTCAATCTGAATTTTTGACCTCCGCCCGCTCAAATTCGAGTTTCTTGTCTTCTGTTTTTTCCGAACGGGACTCCCAACCCGTTTGTAATGTTTTGCTGTTTTTCTAGTGCCAATTATGTTTTTCGCCTTTATCCGACCTTAATTAACGGTTAACGTCTTAACTTACAGGCGATGAGCCAATCAGCAGCAACGGATCGCCGAGTGAACTTTGCACAAGAGGAGCCAATGTGAGTGCGGAATCATGTTTTATCGCTCAAAATGCTTTTTTAGGACTCTGGGAGAGAAAATCAGTCACCGGATGGATCAGTTCAAGGAAATGGTCTCAAGTGGATGTTGTTCCTGTGCCAGAAAAGTAAGCGAACAATTTTTTCTAATCATTCAAACCTTTTTCAGTGTCCTTCCGTAGCCATCGTCCTCGTTTTGGCTCTCGTTATCCTTGGTGTTCTGGCGGCGATACCGCTCACGTTGATGCTCACTTCGTCTGCTCAGAAGATGTCAACCGACAGCACGGACCTCACGGATTACTCCATTCGTCACCCGAAATTCTGGCCAAAGACCGACAAAATTCACTTCGACGATCTCGGCGGTATTCCAATGTCATCTATGTTCCCTCCAAACGTCTCAACATGCTCCGGATTTGGATTCGCCTGCACAGGCGCCGTTCACATGGTGATTCCTTCGTCAAAGCGATGCGATGGATTCAAAGATTGCCAGGACGGATCTGATGAGGAGAATTGCAAAGAGTGCCAATCAGTGTTCTCGTGCCGTTCTCACATTGAAGAGGATTCGAAGAAGAAGCGAAAGACCAAGGTGCAGCCAACACTGATTTGTCTAACTGCTGAACGACTTTGCAATGGCGTTCAAGACTGTCTTGACGGCTCGGACGAGGCTATGTGCAAGTCAACATGTTCCAAAGATCAATTCAAGTGCAATGGTAGCAACGCATGCCTCCCACTCTCTGCAAAATGTGACGGTGTCAAGGACTGCTCGGATGGTAGTGATGAAAACAATTGCAACAAATGCCAAAAAGGAGCTCATGTAAGTCTAGTCTCTCGTAACATTAAACACTTGTTTGTTTTCAGAAATGCGGAAAGCAATGTATCAAGGCCAGCCATGTCTGCGACGGAGTTGCCCAATGCGCTGATCGCTCTGACGAGCAACAATGCGACTGCAAGACCTGCTCTGGATCCGACAAGGCTCTCTGTGACGATGGAACTTGCATCAAACGTTCTCAAGTGTGTGACGGCAAAAAGGATTGCTCAGATGGCATGGACGAGGAGAATTGTCCAGGAACTTGCAGTATCGAGGCATTCGCAACCAAAGTGAAACGAGTCACCTGTTCCGATGGCAAGGATTACACTGAATCCGAGGCTTGTTCAGGAGTTGAGGAATCGTGCGGAGGAAGTTGCTCGAAGTGCCACCCGAAGCTTACTTTCACCTGCCCTGCTGCTGGAAATGCTCAGAAAAAGTGCATCAAAAGAAGTAAGGTTTGTGATGGTATCTTTGACTGCGACGATGGCGCCGACGAGAAGAACTGCACACCAGTCAAAGAATGCGGTATCGATAACGCCAGTCAGTTCACATGCGATCGGAAATGTGTCGATGCCAGTCGTCGTTGCGATGGAGTCTGGGATTGCGAAGATAAGTCCGACGAGCAAAATTGTTCTCAGTGCGCGTCTGGATCTATCAAGTGTTCCGCCGACAAGAAGTGCCTCCCGGCTTACACTCGTTGCAACGGAGTCGCCGAATGCTCCGATGGCAGCGATGAACTGAAGTGCTCTTGTGAAGGTAACTTTAACAATTTCTTTCGTTTCTGTAGCTTTCCAATTTCAGAATGCCTTGGTGCTCATTCAAACACCTACATGTGCTCCGAGTCAAACAGATGCTTGAAGCGTGACGAAGTGTGCTCTCCTTACTCAATGTGCCCCAACGCAACTTACACTGACAAGGCATACTGTGCTGCTTTGGTTCTCAAGAACTCTGGCCGATTCCCATACTAGATATAATCCAGTCTGTCCCTCTAATCATTTGTAAATTATACTAACGATCTCATATATTTCTTGTGAATATTCCTCCACACTAATTCCTTTCAGCCCTCGTTCGGGTTTATACTCTTGAATATTGCATGCTGATAAATGTTTTGTTTTTCATGTTTTTGCGTTTGGAGCATAACATAGTTTTCGAAATATTTATCATTTCCCTCAAAAAATTGATATTTTTTTGTTCCCGGATTCAAATCAGCTCTTTCAGAGGAAAGCGGCGCTTAGTAGCAAGTTAATACCGATGTTATTTGTTTTTGGCATAGCAGCCCTGTTTGAATCAGATGAATAGATCCACGCCATATCCACACCACTGCAAGAAACGGTAATCTCCACAGTTTGTTGCGACTCCGCATTCTCAGACGGTCCACCGTTTGGAAGGAACGTCATGAACGCGATGTAGCCGTTGATGGCACTACAAGACAGTCATTGTGGACGTTTTGTCAGAAATATTAGATATCGGGGTGGCCGCGGGTGGCTTCCCGGTCAATTTTCGAGACCTTGCCCCAGAAACACTACGGTAGTAAACGAAACTTATTTCTGTGAATTCAGTAGGATTTTCTGGACAAAATTTAGATTTCTTGGTATGAAAATGATCGCTAGCATCTCTAAAATCTGTTTTTCATCGAAAAACCGAACTTAATTGCGAAAATAGCTCGAACGAGGCGGAAGTCTAAAATATTTCGTTTTTGCCGCACTTTCTCGTAGATCAAAAAAAGCGACGGTCTTAAAATTCTCAGGTCTTTTTTTAATTCGACAATATGTCTATCATTACGTGTGGTTGATTATTGTCTCCAGTTCTGAGTTCCAATGCATCTGCCGAGCATGTTCCTGAAAATTGAGAGCTTTTGAGTCTTTAAATGAATAATATTTCAAGAACACTGAAATTAAATCTGAAGGACGGAAAACTACAGTAATCTGAAAATATTTTTATTTCCATGATTAATTTTCTCGTTTTCACTGCTTTTTGTCGTAACTACCGTCGCCAAAAAATATTTGCAATAAAAACGAGAAAATGAATCCTGAAAAAATTATTTTTAGGTTACTGTAGTGGTCGTTGGGAAAACTTCGGTCACAGCCACAGGCGCTTCCTTTCCACTTCTCCCGTTTTTAGGATGATATGTAGGCTGACACTGGAAGGAAGTCAAATTTAGAATTTAAGTATTCTTATGCACTGTTCAAAAAGGGAAATCTTTTGAATATTGTAATCCTTTGAATATACACTGCGCGCCATAATTATAGAGCCACTTCAATTTTTGTAATTTTTCTGATATCCATGAAAGTTTCAGAATCCTTTCCGATGGTGATAAATATCATTTTTGAATCTGAAAATGTAAAGAACATTCAATTATAGATAGTGAAGCAACGGTTTGAAAAAAATGAAAAAATGTAAAAAAAAACAATTTTTCACTGCGCCATAATTATGAAGCCACTTCAAAAATCATCATCACAATTTGTTCACTGTAAAAAGCTGATATTCAGATTTTCCACTAAAAATTGATGTTTCCAAATCAATTTCCAAACTGATTTCAGTAGAACAATTTTCTGGTAGAAATGATTTTCGAAATTTTTTTCACAAAAAACGGAAGGTTTGCAAAAAAACAATTTTTGCCTATTCCAAATTTTTTCAGGATTGTATAAGTTATGTCAGATTATTCATAAGAACTCGTCAAACATTATCAAATGCATTATTTAGTTTTCCAAAGCGTGTAAGGTACTGATCAAAGGGTGCAAACAATAATTATTTGAGTTTATTGGAGCCAACTTTAGGTAAGCCGAAAATATACTAAATATGATGGGACACATTTGAAGCTTTTCACATTTATTAACCATAAATAGAGCTTTAATTTCTTAGTTGGCAAGTTTTATCACGACTCCATCCAAAAAAGTTATTTTGCTCCGACGTGTCGCGAGCGTTAACTCAGAGCTTTTATCTGCAGTTTTGCACTTCTTGGGTTTCCAGAGGCGTATCTCATTTATACGAATCTGTACAAAACAGTTGTCAACAATAAAAATGAAGCTCTATTTTTGGAAATGTTTTCTAAAAATTTTCAACCCTGTACGACAATGTATGTTTGTAGAACAAAAGTAATATACTGACCTTTTCTCAGTTGAAAAAACACCATGTTTGAGAGTTTGGAAAAATAACGTACTTTGTCGTATAGGGTTGAAAATTCCTAGAGATATAAAACAAAAATAGAGCTTTATTTTTTGTTGACAACTATTCTATACATATTCATACAAATAAGATACACCTCTGGAAACGAAGAAGCGCAAAACTGCAGATGAGAGTTCTGAGTTAACATTCGCGACCCGTCGGAGCAAAATAACTTTTTTGGATGGAGTCATGATAAAAACTTGCCAACTAAGAAATTAAAGCTCAACTTATGGTAAATAAATCTGAGAAGCTTCAAATGTATTCCGTCATATTTACTATATTTTCGACTTACCTTAAGTTAGCTTCAATAAACTCATATGATAAACGTTTGCACCTTTTGATCAGTTCTTTATGCGCTTTGGTAGACTAAATAATGTATTTGATAATGTTTAACAGGTTCTTATAAACAATCTGACAAAACTTATACAATCCTGAAAAAATTTGGAATAGGCAAAAATTGTTTTTTTTGCAAACCTTCCGTTTTTTGTGAAAAAAAATGTCGAAAATCATTTGTAACCGAAAATTTTTCTACTGAAATTAGTTTAGAAATTGCTTTGGAAATATCAATTTCTAGTGGAATATTTGAATATCTGCTTTTTACAGTGAACAAATTGTGATGATGATTTTTGAAGTGGCACATTTTTTCATTTTTTTCAAACCGTTGCTTCACTATCTATAATTGAATGTTCTCTACATTTTCAGATTCAAAAATGATATTTATCACCATTGGAAAGGATTCTGGAACTTTCATGGATATCAGAAAAATTACAAAAATTGAAGTGGCTCTATAATTATGGCGCGCAGTGTAAAAATTACTCAAGACTACATGAGGTGGTGTGGTAGTGGTAGTCGTGGTTGTAGTCGTGGAGGTAGTAGAGGAAGTAATGGTTGAAGTATCTGCGTTTGTTGTGGTCGTTGGAGTTACAACCGGCCCCGAGATAGGAGACGATGCCATGCATGCCTCCACCATAAGAATAAGATCAAAAAAGGAAAACACCATTGAATAAAGTAAAGCTCTTGACGATCTGATGTCACACTTGGAAGCGTGTAAATGTGTTTTACCGGACTCAAATTAATGTAATGTACCATCCAAGTGGGAGGAGAATATATGGGGTGCAAAAAAAGTTAGATGAAAAAACACTTTCTGCATCTTCGATCCCTATAAGTCTCTGTTGTTTCGGCGTGACAGTGGACGAGATCTTTGGGATGACGGTATCGAACGAAGGAGATAGTGAAGATCCAAACGAATCATTAGATCAAAAGGCATCTGATAAGGAAACAGGTTTCGTTTGAAGGATTGAGCGAACTACTGACACAATGGCAGGATCAGAAATTATCAGGATAGTGGAATACACCCCGTGGTGATGGAGCGAAAACTTACTATCTTCTCAGTAAAGACATATGTATATTCGAAAATGATTATCTCGCAGATTCTGCGTTTGTGTAATTTTAAGTAATGTTCCTTCTAGAAGTTCGAAAGTTATTTCATACAGAAACCCAACGTACTCCCTGCGATCATCCTTAATCCCACCTGCAGGCAAAATCCAGTATTGTTCAGCTGTCCCCATACAACAGATCTTACTTTTCTTGTGAATTTCTTAAACATTGATTCCTTCTGACCCCTTCAGTTGAATTTTGCTCTTGAGTTTTGCTTGTTGATGAAATATGTTTCCACGCTATTTTGAAAGAATGTAGTACTCAAAAAATGTATTATTATTATTAACAAAAATTCAACATTTATTAAAATTATTATGTTCCGGTTCTCAAATAATCTTGTTTTCGCTTTTGATGTTATCAAAATTCAACCAGTAGCTGCCTGATTGCATCTTACTCCTGTTATCGGTATCTCATAAAGTATTCCATTGAATACAACAACATAGTTCCATATCTCCTCCACACTAGTACAAGAAACAGTAATAGCCACGGTTTGTGGATTCCCGTTATTGTTTTGGTTTTCAACCGGATTACCACTCGGGTCGAATATCATGAAGGCAACCAACCCGTTGCTAGCAGTACAAGATACTGTCATTGTAGAAATTGTGTCCATAGTGTTAGCTATTGGGGTGATAGTTAACCTGAAATTGTTCTTTTTAATTTGGTAAGACCAGATGGTTCATACCCTGAAGATGTTACTGGTATCATCACTCCGCTGCCACCAGAGCTGAGCGTCAAACCATCGGTAGGACACGTCCCTGTAATTCGAAGGGTTTAGAATCGTAAAAGAATTAGTATGTAAAGGGCAGAATCTTCAAAATACCTCCAGTGCTTAAATTTTTCACAGGTCAAAGTTTGGAAATATTCTCGTTTCTTATGTGGAGAGCAGCAAAATACAGTAAACACTCTTATAGAAGGCCATCCTATACTTGCAGTTTGAGCCCAATTATCTCATTTTCTATAAAGATAAAAAAACTGTCAATCGATAATATGTTGGTGATATGAAAAACATTTAATCAGTTGACTTATGTTTGATATATCTTATTGAAATGAAGATAATTAAGCTCAAGGAGCAAGTATGGGTTGGTGTCCTATGAGAGTGTTTACGGTATATCAGATTAATGACTTCGCATTTTCGAACATCATACATCTTTATCATGTTGGATAAAGTATAAATATCCTTACAAAGATAGCTATCTGGAACGGAAGAGATTCTGAACAAATCATTAGATCAAAAAGTCTGGTACTTTATCTGATATCACAACAGGTTTGCGGGAAGGGGTGAAATAGTGACACCATGTAATAAAGATCAGAATCGTTTGAGAATTGAATTCACTGATAGAGCAAAAAACTTCGAATCGTAAAGTTTAGTTTTTTAAAAATTCATTTTGGAAACTTATATTAACCTAAATATGGGTCTTGGGAACTTATTACTTGCTTGAGGGGTTCTTAGCGAACAGTTTGAAACCCTCTTTTTTGAATTCGGAAAAAAAAACTTACGAAGATTGAGTGTCGTTGTAGTAGTGGGAGTAGTCGTTGTTGTTGGTGTGGTAGTGGTCGTAGTGGTGGGCGTAGTAGTGGTTGTCGGTGTTGTAGTAGTAGTTGTTGTTGTAGTCGTTGTCGTCGTTGGTGTTGTTGTCGTCGTGGTTGTTGGAGTTGTAGTCGTGGTTGTAGTTGGAGTCGTCGTGGTAGTTGGGGTTGTTGTAGTGGTTGTAGTAGTAGTGGTCGTGGTTGTCGGTGTCGTGGTTGTCGTCGTAGTTGGTGTTGTTGTTGTTGTTGTAGTTGTTGGAGTCGTAGTGGTCGTCGTACTCGGTGTAGTGGTTGTAGTTGTAGACGTTGTGCTAGTTGTTGTCGTTGGAGTTGTAGTTGTAGTCGTGGTTGGAGTCGTGGTAGTAGTTGGCGTAGTAGTGGTAGTTGGAGTCGTTGTTGTTGTAGATGTAGTTGTAGAAGTACTAGAAGTAGTAGAAGACGTCGTTGTTGAAGTGCTGGTCACGAAAGGACCGCGTGCAGACGAAGTTGCCAAGCAGCTCTCCGCCATGAGAATAAATTCAGAAGTTAAGATTATAGTTAAAGCCAGCAAACCTCCTGCCAGTCTCATGATACATTCAAGAAAAGGATAAATGGTTCTAGCTAGAAACTAGTGATGAATTCGAATTCTAGATGGGTGGAGAAATGTTCATGAAATGAAAAAAGTGTGAGATGAGAATATGAATTCGCATAATCGGGATATACCAGCTTGTAAGCCTATTAGAGTGGGAGAAAGGTTGAAATGACATCGTTATGATGGCGATCTTGAACGGAGGGAAGATAGTGTAGTTCCGGATAAATGAGGAGGAAAAAAGTAGACTTCCGATTTTGTTTCTTGGCAGACAATGGGTTGTTGAGAAATTTAAAAAATACTGAAAAAAATTGTGAAGCTCTTCATTTGTTTCAAGGTATTATTTTGGTTTAAAAAATTCCCACAACGACAACTACCGTAACCTAAAATGCTTTTCGACCATTTTTGTGTTGAAAACCTCCAAACGAGTCTGAAAATGAAATTTTTCTGGATCTATAATAATATATTGCCGGAAAACGGAAGAAATCGAGAAAAAAAGCTAACTACTGTAGTTCGGTCGTGGCCACCAGATTTTATCTTCCACAGCTCGGAATTTTTTTCGTACCAGCGTAATAGTGTCAGGTTCGACAAAATAGGCATCATAGACATGTCTACGATAAAAAAAACAGGCATTTGTGGGTTTCATGTAAAACTGATTGTTCCCAATCATGAACACAAATCTCGCGGATTTTATGACCAACTGGCGATATGAGCTCGTTGAAGGTGAGGTGATCAATCTTATAATTGGGAGTTCTGATGTAATGGAATATATCTTCTGGATATTTTTTGCTATAGAGCCGCCAACGGTTTTTTAATTAAAAAAAGTAAGTTTTATTACTACAAAAAGTGAACAATTATTAAATAGAGAAAAAACATCAACATCAAAGATTTATAAATTCATCTTCATCCAGCACCCGGCCCTTCTGTTATTGACTGTGTACAAGTCACACTAGTAATTGCTTCCGTATAGGGATTACCATCCGGCAAAATAGTATTGTAATACCAAACTTCATCCACACTACTACACGTTGCAGTAATAGTCACAGTTTGAGGAGCATCTGCTCCTTGTCCGTTTTCTAATGGTTGTCGATTAGGGGGGAATGTCATATAGGCTACGTATCCATCGATAGCTGTGCATGACACCGACATAGAAGCTGTTGTATCCATAGTGCCAGCGATTGGAGTGAATGTTAGACTGAAAATCAAAGATGGAAAATGAATTGTGATGTAAATTTACCCAGAATAAGTAACATCAATCATTTGTTGTATATCCATATTGTCACCTGTCCCGAGAGGAAGAATGGGACATTGTCCTGAAAGTAATATTTTTTATCAATTTGGTTTCTACGCATTCCAAATGAAAACTCTGACTGTAAAACTTACGAGCTGGCACCGCAGTCGAAGAACTGGTTGGCGTTTCAGTAGTATTAGGTTGGCGGGAAAGTCTTTGTCACTCTGTTTGTTTAATCACTGTTCTCGTATATGGAGGCTGTGTATGATATCGACTCTAGTGAATAACAAGGTGATAAGAACCTTCCATATAAACAAGTCCCCATTTCCTTCCCTGCTCCTCATCTGTAATTGAAACGATATGTTTGTTCCCACTGCTATTCACATCAGACATGTTTTGATTTACCTCTTCCTATCTCACACCACGATGAAGGATTCGGAAACTTTCTTGAAGAATGTGTACAACACACATGCCCCTCACTACAATACTATTCGCAATTGGTTCCATCGTTTCGAAAAAGATGACTTCTCGCTCGATGAAAAGGATCGCTCTGGGAGACCCCGTGAGTTGGATTTGGACAAGCTGAAGCACGCATTGCAATCGGATCCATTTCAATCTAGCCGTGAACTAGCTGTCACATTCGGAGTTCACCATAGCACAGTCCTTGAAGGTTTGAAGTCTCTTGGAATGAGAAAACTTTTTGGTCGATTCATACCTCATCACCTGACTCAAGCCAACCTTGACCGCCGAGTCGACGATTCGATTACTCTTCTCACTCTCCACGCGGGCGATCGATGGCTGGACCGGCTAATAACCGGAGATGAGAAGTGGGTCTTCTACGATAATCACCACAGGAAATCCCAGTGGGTTGGAGAAGGAGAGAGCCCACAGGATGTCCCCAAACCCGGCCTTCATCCGAAAAAAGTTATGCTCTCTGTGTGGTGGGGAGTGGACGGCCCCATCTACTGGGAACTTCTGCCCGAGGGCAAAACAATAACTGGAGACCTCTACACTACTCAACTACGAAACCTCAAGAAAGCAGTCGACCGTTCGGCCCTGAAAGACAAGAAAGTGTACTATCAACATGATAACGCTCGCCCACATGTTTCGAAACAAGTGAAGCAGGAGCTGATGGGAATGGATGGAATGTTCTCCCTCACCCCCCGTATTCTCCTGATCTTGCTCCTTCCGACTATTGGTTATTTGGCGATATGACACGTGCCTTCGAAGGAAGAAGCTTCAATTCCCGTGGAGCGGTCGAAGCGGCACTCAAACAATACTTTGCCTCACGCCCGGCTGGATTCTACCGCAATGGAATCCATAAATTGAGGGAACGTTGGAGACATGTTGTTGATAATGATGGACAATATAATTAATTATTCGGTTATTTTTTCTTTGAGAAATAAACTATTGAAAAAGTGACAAAGACTTTCCCGCCAACCTAATAGAACTGGTTGGCGTTTCAGTAGTAGAACGGGTTGGCGGTATAACTGTAGAACTAGGAACTGTCGGACTACCACCAGGTGATGTAGCTAAGCATACATCTCCAAAATGAAACAATCCAGAAATAAAAAGGATTGCAAGAAGAAATTTCGGACATATCTTGACACAATCACTGGGGAAGTAGGACATTCGTCCTCATGGACTCACACTTTTATATAACATCAAGAGGTGGAGAGATCAAGAAGAGAGCGACAGAAACGGGAGGGAAAGCAAAAAACACGAATTCGCATATACTGTCATACTTGCCAGCGATCCTTTATCTTTTTGATAAAGTTCCCCGTAAGATCATTTAGTTCGAAGAGAGGAAAGAGAATGGATGAAGGAGGATCAAATGAGATCGTTACGATGGAGATCTTGTATGAAAATAGAACGTTCCGGGAGGAGGGAAAAAGGTTCGAATTCGTTCTCATTAGCCCGAACATGAGTGGCTGCCAATTGTCGGGTAGGCTATATGCCAATGTGAATGTTTGTAGTCTCGACGGGATTCGATGAAATTCAGACTTTTACGGAAAATGTTTGCGCTTCATAAAACAGTACTATTAAGAGAATAACAGTCGGGCCTGCGGCTAAGCTCTACGAGATTTATGAAAAAAATAACAACACATTTACTCTAAATTTTAGTTTGGAAGATATCTGCTTGATGTTTTGTACGCAGCACATAAATAGGGTCTTTGCGAAATTTCATGTTTTACCAAGCTCTTTAAGCTTTCTAGCCAGAATTTTGGCTGAAGAAAATCCTCCCATTCTTGCTCTAGGCAACCTTCAAAGCTTAAAAACTTGGGTAGGTTTCTGTGCAGATCTTCTGGGACAAGTATCCCCAAATGGTATAGTCAAATGGGTTCAAATCAAAGCCGCCTTTACTGGAGCCGAGATTAATCTTTAGAAATTGTCCTTGCAACTCTGCTTCTGAGTGTCTTTGGCATGAATATTGGCTAAGGCTCCGAATTTGTTTTTTCTTGCAAGTGATTTCGATGTCCAGAGCAATAATTCGGTTGTATCCACAGTTCTTGAGCATAAATTGGCCCAGTGAATATTTTAGCATCACAAAAAAAGCAGAAAAAAGTGTGCGTACCGCCGAAAAAGTGTCGCATTTTTTGTTACCGAAGCAGCTGGTTTCTCTTTGTCAGGAACGTCGCCTTCTGAATTTGATAAGAATGGAAATTCAGCTTCTGATTGACAATCTATGGTTGGATGAGCAGATATTGGTAAGTCATATGAAGCTACAGGTCTCTGGTAACGTACAGCAGTTCTGTGAACAAACAATTTGAGCTTTTCGACGATGTCCGACTTTGAATTTTATTTACGAAGACATTCAATAATCGATGCACGGTACGATGAATGTCTCGCAATTACCTCTAAATGTGAAAAACAAGAAAAACAATGCCCCCCCCCCCCCAAAATGTTTTTCCTGGATTCACTTGGAGTTTAAAAAAGAACAACCAGAACAACAAAAATAAAAATTTATTAGGAAACAACATACTATGCTTATTAACAACAATTGATTTGGGAAGTCCGAATCAAACCCGCATTTAAATTGGAAGCTGGGGACATTCTACAGTAGTAATTGTAAAATCTTTTGTTCCTCCAGTAATTGGGTCTGGTCCAGTATATATCCAATTCATATTACGACTGTCACAGGTGACAGTTATAGTAATATTTTGTATCTTATTCAAGTTGTCTTCGGCTTGAAAACCTCCATTAAAATCCATGTTCACATAGTTTCCATCAATTGCCATACATGAAATTTTCATTGTGGAAATGGTTTCAGTAGTATCCGGAATTCGAGTTGATGCGAATCTGAAATTTGTAATTACCAGGCAATATTGACTTATAAATCATACCCAAAGTCTGTGACTTCCACGTAAAAATCTGGATCATCTCGTAGGTAAGTGATGTCCGTCGGTGAGCAAGCATCTGAAAAAATATTGAAAAAAGATAGTAAGGTCCAGTTACTTACTGAGTGGAATTTCTTCATTTTGGAGACACTCTACGGAAGTAACCGTGTGTGTGTGTGTACGTCTCCATTGTCTAAAACGGAAGAATATATCCACTCCATAGTACGACTGTCACATGTGACTTCGACAGTTATATTTTGGATTTCATCTAAGTTTTCTTTAACTTGTCCACCGTCATTAAAATCCATGTTCACATAATACCCATCATTTGCCATGCATGAAATTTTCATCGTGGAAATTGAATCCTGAGTTCCAGCAATTTGAGTTGAAGTTAAACTGAAGAGAATTGTTTGAAAAAGTTGATGGTTAACAGGTGATACCCAAAATTAGTCACATCGACTTGTTGTTGTGGGTTATTTGTATCACCCATGCCATAGGTAATTGTTGATGCAGAGCATGTTCCTGGAATAATCACACATAAAATCATTTAATAAAAATGAGAATTCGAACATACGAATTTCAGGTGCTACAGTAGGTGCTTCTGTAGGTGCTTCTGTAGGTGCTTCTGTAGGTGCTTCTGTAGGTGCTTCTGTAGGTGCTTCTGTAGGTGCTGCTGTAGTAACCACTGGTGTACTAGGAGATCGAGATGCAAGGCATGCATTTACCAGTTTAGGATGTTCGAAACCAAAGAATGAAGTTAACAGGAGTAGTAAAAACCATCCCATGCTGGAGGAAATAGAAATTCTCAAAGATAAACTCGCACTTTGCTATGATTGAAAGGAATGAAGAGATCAGGAAGAGATTGAAGAAGGGAGGGGCAAGACCATTTGTCTTATCTTTTTTGGTGTTGTCCTCAGGAGGAAAGCAAGTTCCAACAGATGAACAGACAATGAGTGAACGGAATTACGTCGTTAAGTAGAATTTTCGAATTATTCATTCTCGTTAGATGATCGTCGGCGAACGGCATCCATCGAGAATGCCGAAGATGGCGTATGTAGGTTTAACATGAGATTATGGCGGGACAGTGGAAATTGGGGGATATCTCTATCTGTGTTCTCTATCAATGTACATCTGAATTATTAAAGAAATGTTCAGTTTTGGTTTGCCAACATCTTTAATTTTTGCTCCATTATATTTATTTACTGTATCTGACTTTCCATTTTTTCAATTTTTCAAATCTTTTTATCAGTTTTGTTTTTCAGATTTTCTCAGCTGTGTTGGTTAGTGAATTCGATCGGATCGAATAACTTTTGGCGGCAATGTTTCTTCTCAATTCCCGAAGATACGGAAATCGTTCTCATCCATGGAAATAGCTTTTTTGTGAATCAAGAAGATCAATAGATCGAGGAATCGAAGAACGTTAACGATCAGTTTCACATTAGCATAGACAGTATCATGAGAAGTATTTGAATTCCAAATCTGATTATACCAGTCGGTTCACGTCCTTCCGGAGCTGAACCTCCTGGCTCCCGCTTACGATACCCGTTATCTTATGAAAAAAGTTCACCTCTACAATATAAGTGAGACTGAAATGAAGGAAAAACGACCCAATAAAATTCTGAAGTTCGCTATCTCTCAAATTCTTAAATTCGGATTCTTGAAATTCAATAACTCAGAATTTCAAAAATTTAGAAACTTGAGAATTTCGAAATTCCAAAATTCGGAAATTTGGAAATTTGAAACTTCAGAAATTAAAAAAATATCTCAATTCCGGAATTTGAAACCTTATGTCTTGACAGCTTTTTCTGAAATTTTGGGAAAATTTATGAAAATTGGAAATAAAAAAAGTTAGAAAAACCAAAATTACAGAAAACAGCAATTTTAGAAATTGGGAAACTCAGTTATTCCTAATTTAAGAATTCATTAATTCCAACTAGCCTGTTTGTCGCGCCTCCGGCTCTTCAAACAGATGGCTGGTGCGCCTTCGGCGCTGTTTGACCTTTTTTCGTCTCAATTTCCCGAATTTTTCGCACCCTTAAATTCTAAAATTTGAAGTTCGGAAGATTGAAAATAAAAATGAGAAACTGAAAAATTATAGAATTTCCCAAACTTGAAAGTTTCTGAATATTTTCCGGATTTCCAAAACTTAAAAGTTTTTTGAAAATAATTTGGTTTACCGAAGTTCTGAAATAACAAACTTTTGAATTTCTCAATTCTTGGATTTCAGCATTCCTAAACAATGTTCATTGAAAATTTAAAAAAAGAAGATTTTGAAATTATTTTATTAAAATAAGATCATTACCAAGCAGAAAACAGCAACAGGCAAGAATGGAACAACCCTACTGGAGATTGTTTCAAAGATTCTGTTTTTTACAGTGCAAATTTGACTAAAGCTGATATCCTAGACTTCGTATAACTTATTGAACACTTTATCGAAAGATCATCAGAGCCAAATTTTGAGAAAAGCATCCAAATTTAATATTTTCTACAAGTACCTTTTTTATGAAGTGCAACAAAATTCCGCAAAAGTCAGAATTTCATAGAACCGAGTTATCTTTTATGAGAAGTTTCCGTCTACATATCCGTCTACATTGACATATAGCTTACCCGACAATTGGCAGTCACCCATGATCGGGCTGATGAAAACGAATTCGAACCTTTTTCTCTCCTCCCGGAACGTTCTATTTTCGACAAACCAAACGGACGAACCTGATGAACCTGACGGACGAACCCGGACCTACGAACCGGACCAAAAACGGACGAGAAACGCTCGTTCTTGTGTTGTCAAATTCTTTTTGATCTTCAATTTATTTTCCTTGTAAAATAGAAAAACGGCCTGGGCTAAAAATACATTAGTTGCGCGGTACGGTTTTAAAGGTACATGCGTTAATTTAAAAGTAGCTGTTTTCGCTGCTATTTTTGGCCGCAGCGAGCAATGAAATTAGACCAGAATAATAGGCTTTGAGGTTATTGATTCAAAAATAAATACGAATTTTTTATAATGTTCAACTAAAGATCTGCCATGGCAACTGCCAAGTAGGAACTACAAAATTAGTCATTCCTTCTTGCCATTCTGGAAAATCACACAATATTCGAAACATTTATTATTTTCAACAGAAAATTCAACATTCATTAAAATTTTGTCCTGGTACTAATATAATATTCTAAGATGTGAACAGCTTTTGATGTAATCAAAATTCAACCAGAAGCTGCCTCATTGCATCTTACCGATGTTATTGCTTGTAATCGTCCACTCGGAACATCAACATACTTCCAGACCATATCCACACTACTACAAGAAACAGTAATAGCTACTGTTTGTGGCAAGTTTGCGTTTTCACGCGGATTAAGTTCCGGTTCGAATATCATGAAGGCAAACAACCCGTTGGCAGCAGTACAAGAAACTGTCATTGTAGACGTTGTGTCCATAGTGTTAGGTATTGGAGTGACAGTTAATCTGAAATAGTTTATTTTGTTTGACAAGACCAGATGGTTCATACCCTGAGGATGTTACTGGTATCCTCATTCCATTGTCTCCAGGGCTCAGCGCTAATGCGTCTGGTGAGCATGTTCCTGAAGTTTGAAACGTTCAGAATCGTAAAATGAATAATATGTCAAGAAAACTTACGTAAACTAAAGTGTCTAAATTCTTTCGCAGATCAAAAGTTGGAAAAATGTTTGTTTCTTACTAGTTAGATAGTTGAAAAAGGATCTTCGTCATGTCGATGAAACGTAATAGATCTGACTAGGGAAAGTTGCAATTGGGGTGTGGAACTTTCAGATGAAACCTATATCGCTGGTCGGTTGATCAAAAAAACTCACTTAAAGATTTTACGCTAACAACAAATAATCGGGTCATTGGAAACAATTTTTTTAACTTTACTATTAGTGAAGATTGAAGATACCTTCAGAAATAATTTTGAAAAATAGAAGGAAATTCCGAAAGATTAAGAACTCAAAATTTCGAAGCTTTTTCTAGACTGCAAACATAGGAAAAATGTGCATACATTTGTCCGGTCAAAAGGAAAAGTGTAGCCGAAAATTATTTGTCTTTGAATATGCCTTTTAAAAAATCATAAGAATTTCACAAAACTATTGGAGAAGAAGTAGTCGTGGTTGTTGTAGTTGTTGTTGTTGTCGTTGTCGTGGAGGTAGTCGTGGAACTAGTTTAGGAGGTAGTGGTTGAAGTAACTGCGGATGGAGTAGCCGTTGAAGTCACAGTCGGTCCTGGCGTATGTGACGACGCCATGCATGCCTCCACTATATTACCCGGAGAGAGAAACACTATGGATTAAAGAAAAGCTCCTGACGATCTCATTCCACATTTGAAAGCTTGAAAATGGGTTTACCATTCTCGAATCAAAATGAAAAAAAAGAAACATAGTGAATAATTGGTGTGGGAGGGATCCATTGAGTGCAAAAAGGTTTGGACGAAAATAATGCGTCCTACATCTTCGATCACTATAAATTCTCGTTGTTTCGGCGAAATCTTGGATGAGATCTTTGGGATGAAGATATCGAATGAAGGAGATAATGAAGATCCAAACGAATCATCAGATCAAAAAGCAGGTACTTGATCTGATAAGGAAACAGGTTCCGTTTAAGGAATAGTGCGAAGTACTGATACTATGGAAACATCAGAAATTAACAGGATAGTGGAATACACCGCGTGATGATGGAGTGAAAATGTGCTATATTATCAACAAGGACAGATACTCGGAAATTATTCTTAGAGTCTAAAAGTTATAGACTTAATTTTTTTAATTTTTATATTACCCTATTTTCTTTAATGAAGCCCAACCGAACCGTCAACTTTGAGCTCAATTATCTCGATTTCTATAGAAGATACCGAAAAGTGGTTCTATGAGAGGAAAAAAGGTAGATAGTAAAGACCAGTTACTTACTGAGTGGTGGAGTTTCTTCAATCTGGAGACACTCCGCGGAAGTAACCGTGTGAGTGTATACGTCTCCATTGTCTAAAACTGAAGAATATATCCACTCCATAGTACGACTGTCACATGTGACTTCGACAGTTATGTTTTGGATACTATCTAGGTTTTCTTTGACTTGTCCATTCTCATTAAATTCCATGTTCACATAATATCCATCTATGGCCATGCATGAAATTTTCATCGTGGAAATTGAATCCTGAGTTCCAGCAATTTGAGTTGAAGTTAAACTGGAAAATATTGTTTGAAAAAGTTGATGGTTAGTAGATGATACCCGAAATTGGTGACATCGACTTGTTGTTGTGGGTTATTTGTATCTCCCATGCCATAGGTAATTGTTGATGCAGAGCATGTTCCTGGAATGAATAACACATAAAATTATTAAATGAAAATGAGAATTCGAACACACGAATTTCAGGTGCTACAGTAGGTTCTTCTGTAGGTGCTTCTGTAGGTGCTTCTGTAGGTGCTTCTGTAGGTGCTTCTGTAGGTGCTTCTGTAGGTGCTGCTGTAGTAACCACTGGTGTACTAGGAGATCGAGATGCAAGGCATGCATTTACCAATTTAGGATTTTCGAAACCAAAGATTGAAATTATCAGGATTAGTGAAAACCATACCATGCTGGAGGAAAGAGAAATTCTCAAAGAGATCAGGAAGAGATTGAAGGTGGGAGGGGCAAAACAATTTGTCTTATCTTTTTTGATTTTGTCCTCAGGAGGAAAGCAAGTTTCAACAGATGAACGGACAATTATCTTTTTTTTCATGACTTTTCAATTACAATAACTTTTGGGTCGCAATGTTTCTTCTTGTTTCCCGAAGATACGGAAATAGTTTTTATCCATGGAAACAGTTTTTTTATGAAACAAGAAGATCGAGAGACCGAGGATTCATGGAATGATAACGATCAGTTTCACATTAGCATTCAGTAACATTAGAGAAAATTGAATCACACATTTGATTATGTGATATCTTGTAACAAAAAATTGGATTTATTAACATTTCAAAAAAAGTCATAAATCAATTTAAATTTGGCACGGAACTTCTTCTAACTGTTTTTGTAAAAGTTATATCCGAAGAGGGGTACGAGTGTTCAAACTATGTTACAATTATGAAAACCAACTGTAGTTTTCAAAAAACATGATATTTCTTCAATAATGATAATTAGTGCCTACGATTCCGGCGCGGTTTTCTGTTGACCTCTTCGAATTTTTCAAGTTTTGACTTCGCACCTCATGTTTTTTTTTCTCAGGAGTAGGCAAGTCAATTAACCAATCCAATGAGGTGTTGTCCCTTAATCCCTTAACCACATAAAACTATATTTTTATAAGTTCAAACGCCTCCGATTTCAGTGATTACGGAATCATACAGTCTCATGTTTCATAATCATTATAAACATGTTCCTACTCTAAGGCCGGTGGTCCAGAGTAAGAATGTAAGTACAAGGAATAAAAACTAATAATCTTTATTGTGAACAAATCGAGTTAACTGACCATGTCTCGTCGGTGCCATCATCTTGCCACTGACTTCCATGACTCGAGGAGTATTGGCCTTTCCAGTGGGTCCAGCAGTCTTCTTTCCAGCATTTGGTAGTTCGGACATTTGGTGCGAGAGTTGTTCGGGAGCAGTTGGGACGTTGGTCTTCAGAAGAAGTAAACTGATCTTTCTGTCGAATTCGTTTCCTTTTATAGCCATCAGAGGGGGTGGAGCTTGACGTGGAGGTCGTGGAGGTCAGGGCAGATTGGAAGATTGGAAGAGCTTGGTCACGTTGGAATTCACGGGAATAGATTATTAGTTGAAAGATTTTAGTGTATTTGAGACACGTGCAGTCTCTATAAATATTTGTAGTTTGTAGTCGTGCAGGAGGACTACTGCTGCCGCGACACTGGGGGCGGCGAGAGGAACAGTACAGACAGGGAGTCTGAGCGGGAAAAGCAGTCCAGACATGGGGTCTTAACGAGGAAGACAATACAGATGTGGTTTGATGAGTTGTTAATCTTGATCCTCTTTTGAGGCGGTCAGCTCCAACGGAATGAGCTGATTAATGGCTCTTTCGATAGTGGTGTTCTTGCATTTTAGTATTAGGTTGGCGGGAAAGTCTTTGTCACTTTTTCAATAGTTTATTTCTCAAAGAAAAAATAACCGAATAATTAATTATATTGTCCATCATTATCAACAACATGTCTCCAACGTTCCCTCAATTTATGGATTCCATTGCGGTAGAATCCAGCCGGGCGTGAGGCAAAGTATTGTTTGAGTGCCGCTTCGACCGCTCCACGGGAATTGAAGCTTCTTCCTTCGAAGGCACGTGTCATATCGCCAAATAACCAAT